GTAAAATTAGCCATCGTCATTACCACAGTAAAATGTAAAATTAGCCATCGTCATTACCACAGTAAAATTAGCCATCGTCATTACTGCAGTAAAATGTAAAATTAGCCATCGTCATTACCACAGTAAAATTAGCCATCGTCATTACTGCAGTAAAATGTAAAATTAGCCATCGTCATTACCACAGTAAAATTAGCCATCGTCATTACCACAGTAAAATTAGCCATCGTCATTACTGCAGTAAAATGGAAAATTAGCCATCGTCATTACCACAGTAAAATTAGCCATCGTCATTACTGCAGTAAAATGTAAAATTAGCCATCGTCATTACCACAGTAAAATTAGCCATCGTCATTACCACAGTAAAATTAGCCATCGTCATTACTGCAGTAAAATGTAAAATTAGCCATCGTCATTACCACAGTAAAATTAGCCATCGTCATTACCACAGTAAAATGTAAAATTAGCCATCGTCATTACCACAGTAAAATGTAAAATTGGACAAAAATAACCACCATCATATCATTACCGCACTATCTAGCAAACTTGGCCACAATCATATCATTACCGCACTATAAGACAAAAATAACCACCATCATATCATTACCGCACTATAAGACAAAAATAACCACCATCATATCATTACCGCACTATAAGACAAAAATAACCACCATCATATCATTATCGCACTATAAGACAAAAATAACCACCATCATATCATTACCGCACTATAAGACAAAAATAACCACCATCATATCATTACCGCACTATAAGACTTAAGATAAAATTACCGGATATCGTTAACTCTTGAACAGCGGTCATAACGGTTGTGAAAGTGTTAACTTATTAGCTAATTGCTTTCTCTGCAGTGACGTGATAGGGTTTCCTTCAGGTGTTTCTTACCATCATTAATCCAGATATTAGCCTTGTGTTTTAAGGTTACAGGTTGTGACTTTGGCATTTTGGCTCTAGGCATTGTCCTTGTGTATTGAGGGTCCGGATATTGGCCTTGTGTATTGAGACTCCAAGTATTGCCCTAATGTATTGAGGCTCCAGTACTGATTTTGTGTATTGAGGTTTTGGCTATTTCTAAGGGTATTGAGGGTCCGGATATTGTCTTTGTGTATTGCGACTTCAAATATTACCATCGTGTATTGAGGCTGCAGGTACTGATCTTGTTTATTGAGGCTGCAGGTACTGACCTTATGTATTGAGGCTCCAGGTACTGACCTTGTGTATTGAGGCTCCAGGTACTGACCTTGTGTATTCAGGCTCCAGGTACTGACCTTGTGTATTCAGGCTCCAGGTACTGACCTTGTGTATTCAGGCTGCAGGTATTGACCTTGTGTATTGAGGCTCCAGGTACTGACCTTGTGTATTGAGGCTGCAGGTACTGACCTTGTGTATTGAGGCTCCAGGTATTGACCTTGTGTATTGAGGTACCAGGTATGGACCTTGTGTATTGCGGCTGCAGGTACTGATCTTGTGTATTGAGGCTCCGTTTCCTGACCTTTTGTATTGAGGTTTCAGTTACTGAACATATGTACGGAGGCAATGGTCTTTTGGTTCCTTTTGATCATAGCAGTTACATTTATATAAGCGATCAAGATTATGAAACTAACTAACTAACTAACTAACTAACTAACTAACTAACTAACTAACTAACTGACTGACTGACTGACTGACTGACTGACTGACTGACTGACTGACTGACTGACTGACTGACTGACTGACTAACTAACTAATTAACTAACTAACTTACTTACTAAATAACTAACTAACTAAATGACTGACTGACTAACTAACTAACTAACTAACTAACTAACTAACTAACTAACTAACTAACTAACTAACTAACTAAATGACTGACTGACTGACTAACTTAGTAACTAACTAAAGTAACTAACTAACTAACTAACTTAGTATGCACTTTTTATTGCTACATTTATGTTAGTGAAAAATGTCAGTCTGTTTGCATCTTGTTAAATAATACCGTTATACAAACACAAATGGTAACGATCTCCTGATAACAGCTTTTAAGCGATCAAATTTTTTTATTGTATTTCTTTAAATGCAATCATAGCAAATGTTATTGACTTTTTGAAAATTCAGGTACAGTTCAGAAAACCTTTTAACGTCGTTAAAAAGATGACATTATGTGAAATCTATAAACATATTAGGATGAACACCACAAACAAACAATGATTACGTTTGGCTACGTAATAATGAACAAAAGAATCCTGCTTTACAGGAACGAGTCGACGTTTACTTTTCAGTTACATGTGAACAGCACCACCTGGATCACTAGTTAGCAGTTATTGACACTTTCTAAATACGTCACCAATTAATGCTGATTTTTTAATTTACAGATCATTAATTTCATATTAGCTGTAGTGACAAGTATTGCCTCCAAGTCGGCCTGAGCATCAGTTAAGTATAAAAAACAACACGTGTGAAGTGTACGAAATTGAACTCTGTATATAACGTAATGTAGATCATTGATATACAACATCAGTTAAATTGAAATCTTGTTACTGCTGTAATTTAATTTGTTAATCATTTGTTAGTAATTACCTTAAACAAAAACAAATCAAGACGTTTTGATCTACATGTAGTACACTGTAATATCATTTATAACAGGATATAGTTCCTGGGACAAAAGAAACGGACTGCTTATCAACTGATTAACAGGTAACAAACTACACTGATGTATACACGTCACACTGATGTATACACGTCACACTACACTGATGTATACACGTCACACTACACTGATGTATACACGTCACACTACACTGATGTATACACGTCACACTACACTGATGTATACACGTCACACTGATGTATATCTTACTTCTCTGATGTATATACACGTCACAATGATGTATACACGTCACACTACACTGATGTATACACGTCACACTGATGTATACACGTCACACTGATGTATACACGTCACACTGATGTATACACGTCACACTGATATATACACGTCACACTACACTGATGTATACACGTCACACTACACTGATGTATACACGTCACACTACACTGATGTATACACGTCACACTGATGTATACACGTCACAATGATGTATACACGTCACACTACTGCTATAGCTGTTACACTACACTGATGTATGTATATATATCTCACTACTCTTGATGTATAGTTGTCACACTTAGGTGACTACGTCCTTTCATGTTTAGATTGATTTATTTTAACTCTATCGTTTTGTCGAGATCTGTTAGTTCACTTTGTGGCAGTTTGACTTGCTTTCTCTTTCATAAGGCAGATATTTCAAAGTCATTCGATAAAGGGTGACGCGAATGTAAAGTTTAATGGCTTGAAAATATCGATAGGAAATTTATTTAATAGAAAATCAATTGTCAGTTTAGATGGTAAGCCATCCGAATATCCATTGATCCGTTGTGTGGTTTATAAAGTCCGCAGGCTCCCAAGCTCCCCCCTCTCTTCTCCTTCCTCCTCTCCCTCCCCCTTCCATCCCTGCTCATCTCCATCATTTCTGATGTTTAATATGATGTCAATATGTATATGGGAAGTGTTTCTCTTGAATCTCTTGTTGGTCACCTTTAATACTTGAACTTGAAGTATTGATATTTTTACATCTTAAAAAATTTCTACATGGAATCTAGCATGTGTATGATTCGGGTATGTGACGGAGGTTATGATAGACATTAGATGTTTACAGTCATCCCGACGTGGTGTTCTGGTGAAACTCTACAAATCGATGACTCGTATGTGATGTTAAATCTAACATGGTTTCTGTCCTCTTTGTTTTAAAACTGCAGGTTTTCTCCTTCAGGGTAATTACATCATAAGTATGGAACAGTTGAATGACTTGACTTTTACACACATTTCTTCAGGCAGTGTCGATTTCTGTATGCAGTTACACCAAATATCTAATACGTCTTTGGCATGTCTTATATACTTATGTGTCGACAATATTTTAAAAGATATCATATCTTTTTATTTCATATGTAATCATATCAACGAGGAAACATAAAAAAGTTCGTAGTAGGCAAGCCTTGTATATCTTATCATATCATGTTTAGATACTTTGTTTATAAGACGTGGTATTTTATGTCCTTTATGAAGAATTATATGTATCCTATATGTGTATATTTATAGGATGTATTATGTAAATTTCTTATACAATGTTATATACAATACGACTCTGTTGTCAGTATGATTTAACCAATTACGCATTCACAAGTTTGTGTTATTGTGTGAGTGTAATTTGATATATACATATATAGACAGTTAGTCTATTTTTCTATTATAAAATGAGATTTACGAGGAACCTTCTAACGGTCAACTGTCACAGGTTACAATTCACGTGCTAATGTTCGATCCCTGGCGGAGCCACTGAAATGAATTGACATATATACGTGCTGTAAGGAATTTTAAAAGTAAACTGTACATATATCGCTAAATATTGTAAATGTGCACGTTATAATGAACGGTCATAAATTGGAAAAACAAAAAAAATTGAAATTAAGACATGCAAAGCTACCATTTGTAGTTGAACATTTTTTCTTGAAGGGAATTCTTTAACTGATGAAATGTTAACCTTCAAAAAATTGCCTGTTCATTTAGGAAATATCCAACTGAATTGAGTATCAAAAGGAAATATCAAAGAGTACTCCAAATGCTAGTATTAGGATATGCTTATGCAAAAATGCATTTCAATTGTAATATCACGCTCCGTGCTTATTGCAAGCAAACTTATCACTTATTCAAAGATCATCAGATGTAATATACAGCATAGCTTATTCAGAAATTGCATCGAATATCTATTAATATTCTACATGCGATATCCCATATTAAACGATGAAGTCAGAAAAAAATCTATCAAAACCAGTCTTGTTATTGTGTGCTGTTCTAGTTGTTTTAACCAGTGAATGGAAAGCGTACCGTACGCTATGTCTATGTCAAATAAACGCTTCCCTAGCAGGAGGAAACGCTGGAAGAAATTAAGGGTTGCGACGATAAGATGTAAGGGAAAATGACAGTCTTGACAGACAAAATAGGATATTACAGTTGAGACGGCACGTTGTAGGTGCGTATGTGTGACAACGATCTAAAAGCTAATTTGTGTACATTAAGGTAATCAAATGTGCTTAACTTTATTTTATCATAATATCAATCACTGGTGATACAGAACAGAGCACGATGTGAACTGAAGATGGCCATATAAGTTGGATTTGAGTGGCTGTACTAGAATTCGTACGCGTCTTTTCAGCTTCATTACGTTCCTGCTCATTACAGAGAATTGGTCTTGACAATCACTTGGTCACAATGCTTAAGTGGAGACTCACTTTACCGGTGTCGCTTTACTCAGTTACTAACTTCAGCTTGTGAAATTGTAATTCTCATATACATGTACTGAAATGTAATTGCTATGACGAGACTTTCATTATGACAGCTAGAGTGTCTTTGGATTCTAGACAGATGATGTCAGTTCGTTGATCATAGGTTCTACCTTCGTTACTCCACCTACATATGTATATTGTATTTCTAATTATGCAGATGCTGTAATCATCAACAATGTAAGCTTGCTTTCTGACATGATCTATCTTAGTAAGGTTGTCTTCCTTAGTCTAGTCATCTACCTTTAATCACAACTTGGACACTCCTTTGCGATGCAACCAGCATGCAAGGAACTCAATTGTCAAGGAATATAACTAGATCAGATGAAATGCTTGTTTTAATTTTGCTACAGACAATTATCTTGTTGTTTTCCTTGTTTTACATGCATGTATACAAGGAATGCATAATTATATGTCTTAGTTCATGCATACATGCTAAGCAAAAGGCTTATGTATGCTAGACATACTATATCTAGCAAAAGATAAAAGTAATGTTACTTATTTCAAATAAGGTCAACCTTGCCTTGAACGGGATCCAGGAGGGAGTAGTGCCTGCAGCTGGTTGGCATTGAAAATTTTCACAGCTTTGTACATGTAAAAGGTCAAATTAATGAACTTCATATGTAAAGTTTTAACTTCAGGGTGATATTATATAAAGTCTATTTATTTTATAAGAATTGTGAAACAACTTGTTGAACAGTCTTGTTGGTCCAGAAGAAAGTACATTAATTACTGCCTTAGTAGTCTTACTGTGGAAAGAATCTAGCAGTGCCTGGCCTTATGCAGAAACACACATTTGGTGGGGCAAGAGATCCCATACTTTTTCATATACATTAGGGTGATCAAACTGCAGAATTTTAGGTTAAAGGTGAAAGTGTTACCAGCTGCCCTCCTGGTTGATATTTGGGCAATTATGAACCAGTAAATATGGAAACTCTGAAGATGACGTAGTAAACACATATAGAGAGGTTATATCAGTAACATTCCATTGATGTTTGGCAGGTCTCAAGATATTTGAAATATGTGTGGAGTGTAATGGATGACATCTGAAGACAATGGGAAAGATCAGCAAGATCTTGGTGTGTGGTCATTCTGGTGTTGGAAAGACAGCTGCTATAGAACAGCTGATCTATGGCAATCATGTGGCCGGTATGGTAAGTGTTCATACCTTCTGAAGCATTTGAAAAACATTGCAGCAAACATTTAAGTTATATGGTAGGTATACACATACTATAAAGCTTGTTTTGAGGAATTTAACAAAATTTATCTGACGGGAGAGGCATATTCATACCTTGTAGATGAAATTTTCTAAATAGAGGCTATAACATGAACTTTGCATATGGTCACTATTAGTCTGTATTAGAAATGTTAAGTACAATTTTGTGAACAAAGTTTGATAGATACATGTACATGGTTTACCTTGGAATCCTGGTATTTCATGAAGATACGAGTCAAGGGACTCCAGTCTTATGTGATAAAGAGTAAAACTTTATTAATTTTGAGGGTCCTTTGTCATTTCAATGAGTCAAAATGCAAGTTTTCAAGAATCAGGGAAAACCCTGCATGTATTATTACTGTATTTTATAGGGTATATGCCCATGCTCGGGAATAAGCCCACCCCCATATTTTTCACATCTTCATTGCAGGGCATCCAACCATTAGAATACTTAAATATATGGAATATTCTCTCTATAGGATAGAAATGTCAATTAGCTATATACTTTTCCAATTTTGTGCAGCACTTTTATCTTAGGATGTCAATACTCTTTTAACCAAGAAAATAACATCTCGGGTACTGGTAGTGAAATGCTGTGGTATCTTCTGTGGGATTGACGAGACATTTTTTTGTTGAAGTAGTTATAAATATCTTTTCTACTTGTATAGCCAATGCATTCCACCATTGAAGACATCTACACAGCAATGATAGAAACTGACAGAGGCCTGAAGGAGAAAGTGAGGATCTTTGACACTGGCGGACTGGTAATGCCTTATGTAAATTCTCTGTGAATGGAATCAGTTTTACAGTAATCTGTTACACTTTTGTCAGATTAATAAATGAAATTTATGTGAAAGATTTGAATAAGTAATGCTTTTCTGCTACCAAATTATAAAGTTACTATAGCTACATTACAGGAACCAAAGTGAGATCAATGCACTTTCATTTCCTTTGTTTGTTCATTCATGAATGGAAATTAATGGTAGAACTGAATAACAAAGACAAACTATTTTAAGGATCTTTTGGTTAAATGTTACAGTAGGTTTTAGTCACATCTATATGTTTGTGAAAAAATAACGCATGTATGTTGAGTGGATGTGAATTTGAATGTCTTAATGTACGTTATAAAAAGAAGATAAAAGGTGGATCCTTGGGATGAACACGGTAACAGAAGTCATTATTTATTTTAATTCCCCCTCTAGGATTTAAACCCGGGATCTCTGGCATACTAGTCTGATGCTCAGTGCTCGAGCTAAAGATAAATTCTCTCCCACTGAGTGGTATATTGCAGCTGGTATTATACCTGGGTTACATACTTCTCGTTCAGGAAATAGCTTGTCCTCAAGTTTCCAGGGGTTACAGCGAAGTATTATTCCCAAGTCCCTACATGTCCCTACATTGCACCTACTACTATTTTGCCACGGTTATGATTCCTTTGATTGTGACTGACTGCTCTGTTGAATACTGTGGGGTATTATTCCATCTGTGATTCAGTTTATATCGCAGATAACCTGATTATTGGTTCTCTCCAGATTGTACGGTGTCCCACTTTTGTTTTTTTAAATGATTTAACACTACCAGTTCAACCAGTAATCCTAGGGTATTGTCTATTACTATAGCTGTAGATATTGTGGGTTATTTTGTCTAGTAGAATTTATACACAAATGTTAAAGTTTTTTTGTATTTTGTATTTATTACCGGTTTATCAACTACAGGATGGAGCTAAAACTGATTTACCACGACATTACCTGACATTTCCTGATGTGAGTGACAATAATCTCTTCCTTATTAAATTACAACACACATCAATTCATGCATTTTACCATAAGGTAATTTGTTACTTATTGTGAGCTGTAGTATCATTTTCCAGCTCTTTATTCATTTGTGAAAAGTTTTAGGGATCAAACCAGATGTATAGGTAATCTGAACTTCTAGGTTGGACTTCAATCAAAATACAGTACTTGTACACTGTTAAAACTGACACTGCTACATAACAAGTTCTCTTGTTTCTCACTAACACTGCATCTACACTATTAATGTATGTCCACAGGGCTTTGTTCTGGTGTATGATGTGACAAACTGGGATTCGTTTCAAAAGCTTGAGAAACTTAAAAAGGACATTGATAAAAACAGAGAGAAGAGAGAGGTAAGAGTTTGAAATGAATGTTGTAAATGGAACATGTTTTCTATTGTCACAAAAAAATAGACAATTATTGTAATACAAAGTTCCTGGAATAAGTGTAAGATGTAATATCTACTCTGTACAAATTATTTTTCAGGTAAATGAATTTTAGAAAACTTCTATTTGAGGGCTGAATATTTTATAAGACATAATTAATTAAGACCCTTGGTCTTAGATTAGCATTGTTGAGTGTATATTATTGTACATAGAAATGAGATACACTGTTTAAGGTATAATCTTATAAATATTAAAATGAGGGTATTGGTTTGTTTCAGATTCATATTATTGCCATAGGCAACAAAAGTGAGGAACAAGAAAGTCGTCAAGTAGATTTTAACACGGCACAGATGTGGGCAAACAGAGAGAAAGGTGCTCTTCAATTCTAACTTTGCATTCAGTTTGGCTTAGGTCACAAGTTGTAGCCATTCATTTGTTTTTAGTGGGAGAATAAGTAGCAAGTGTTATAGGAATACAAAGTTCAGAATGGTGAAGATCTCAGATTCTGGAAAGAGTGTTCATGATAATTTATCAAAAAACTTAAAATATTTTTGTGGGATGTATTTTTGAGTCTGTATATCAGTGCCAAACAAAGCATGTTTTAATTTGATCCTAAATGAGGTTATCAATGTAAGATAGTTTGAATGGTTTACCATGTAGATGTGCACCACATTTATTTGGCATATTTAAGATTCAGCTTTGTTTCTTCTTCATATTTGTACTTTTAATTCTTCTAATTTTTTACCTGCTTGGTCATATCATTGTTTCCAGTTCGACTATGGGAGGCGTCAGTCAAGAGCAGACAATCACTAATAGAACCATTTGTTTGGTTAACGTCCAGGATTACCCAACCACAGAGTAAGTTCAAACTTACACCTGTTACAAATTTTTATCATCTTTGTACATTTATTTTTATGCTCCCCGAAGGAGAGCATATAGTTGACACTTTGTCCGTCCATCCCTCTGTTATTATTTTGTCCAGAGCATATCACAAAAACTATAAGAGGTATCAACATAAATTTTTCTAGGTCGATAGATCTTGATAAGGAGAACTGTAGTGTACAAAAACCATAACTCTCCTTTGCATAATTAGCCCTAATGAAACTAGTGTTTATACGGAGAGCATCCATCGGTTCAACTAATTCTCTTGTTTTTTAATTAAGTTTTCCAAGGATATGCAGTTGTCTTGTAGATATTGGAAAGGCCCTAAAATGCTTGTTAGGGCTGCATGATGAAATTGTGACCTAAATTTCATTTGGTGCAGATACATCATGGAATTGTAACACTTTGTACCTTTATAGAGTAAATTTAAGTATCAGCACTGCTCTCGTTATCAAATGTCATGGGGTCCAATGAAAAACAATCCTGTTTTTGGCAAATTATTAAATTCCTTAACATCATTTGTTTGATGAGAATGTACCTGTTGTGTATTTTGAAAAATTATGATCTGTTGTTAATTTTTTCCGTTACCCTTTTCTTTTCAGGCAAGTCCACATTCTTACCAGGTCGCAAGGCCAAGGCTGGTGAACTTTGAACTCTGGTGCACTTTGAAGTCTTGTGAACTTTGTACTTTGAAGCAGTATTATATTTGTTCACTGTACATAATTATTGCATGTATTAGTACTATTGTGTATAGATAAGATATTTATCATTCTTATACAAAAACTACTTGAAAAGTTCAAATGTAAAAATGCTGATGTATTGTGCAATATCTCGTTGATTTATTCAAAGTTCTGAATTACATTTCTCATTTGTGAGTTTAAAAGTGACAGTGACAATTTAGTCAACAAAGATAATCTGCCAGATACTGCGAATATCTCATTCCTAATGAGAGTTTGCAGAGTTAATTATGAGATAACATTGATGTTCACTGTGATGAATTTACAAAAATGTATTTTTTGAAAAGGGAAGTTATTTTACTTAAGACGGGATAAAGCAACAGCTGAAACCGTGGCGATATAGCAATGTAGATTTTACTGAGGATACGCAGTGTTTTACTCTGTTATGTTGATAAATAACATTCGGTAATAAAGTCATATACAATTAATTTTCAGTGATTGTTTTTTGTCAAGGTCTTCACAGATTGAAAAGTTTTATGAGATATCTTAGCTCACATAGAATTGACATCCTTACCATTATACAGAGTAGTTATGTCCGCACCTACATTGAATCCTTTTATAGCAGCATAACATTTTTAGGGCTTTGAATATAATAGAGTATGTTTTTGACTCCAAAAACTGAGGTTTGATTTTCAAGTTTGAAAGGACATGTCTATTTCATGTATGTTTTGATCTTTCATATGTGTAATTTGTTTCCTGAAATTGGAATATTACAAGAAATGACTGAATGCTAAATAGGACCTCTGACCTGTGACCTCTGACCACTTAAGTATCACACTTTAGTATCATAAGGTGTAGAACTTAATGTTATGATAATATCAAGTCAATGTGAACTAAATCTGTTGAGAAATTTGAAGGAACAACATAAGAATAGGATGCGATGGGACAAGGCGGACGGACACAGGTAACAAAACAAACAGCAGGAGCATAGAAAAACAATGTTTATAATCAAGTAAATATATTTATTACTTAAAAATTGGATACAAAACAAATAATAGAAATAAAATATTATAACTATATATTATAATGATTTCAACAAGATATATTTAAGGCTTCTATCTTTGTAATATTGAGGTTGGTTGGGGCAACAGTTTCTTACTTCAGAAAGCTATGAACACAGTTAAGTATGCTTAATATGTGACGGTTTGTTGTAATTTTGAACAATCTTGAGGTAGCTCTTTATCAAAATAAACCATATTTTTATGAACAAAGCCAGAAAAATAAGATTGCAGATAACCAGGCCCACAGAGGACTGTGATCTAGTTAATCAGGCCCACAGAGGACTGTGATCTAGTTAACAAGGCCCACAGAGGACTGTGATCTAGTTAATCAGGCCCACAGAGGACTGTGATCTAGTTAATCAGGCCCACAGAGGACTGTGATCTAGTTAACAAGGCCCACAGAGGACTGTGATCTAGTTAATCAGGCCCACAGAGGACTGTGATCTAGTTAATCAGGCCCACAGAGGACTGTGATCTAGTTAATCAGGCCCACAGAGGACTGTGATCTAGTTAACAAACACCATCCATAAAGTTACTACATCAGTGTTTACTGTATAAATAGTTTTTTTTTTTTTTTTTTTTATGATCATTTTTTTTATTCATGTTCAACATAGAAAAACAATTTACAATACAATGGAAGCAACTACATTAGCTAGTACAGTATCTTAATGAAATATACATGTATCAAGAATTATGACAATTACATTATGATTATCATCAATAAGGCATGTATACATGTATATAATATGATTTTTGATGATACAACGTAAACGACAATACATGTACATAATACACAACCTGTAAGGACCACTTTTAGTGTTTAGTATAAGGTGTTGAAAAAGGTAAGTACACCTTTATGTTTATCTTTCATTAAATAAAGATGTGCAATTTAAAACTGAAATTTGTTGTTTTTTTCATTTAAGATATGGAGCTAATTCTCGCGGAATAGGTCATGCCATCCTCCTAATCTACTGAGAAACGGGTTTCTTTCATTATACAAACATTTTTCAACTTTATAGTAGCAAATAACTTTCAATCTTAAAACTTCAAAGTTACCATAAATGCTGTATTGATAGTTGACATCACGTTCAATATTTACACAAGATCAGTACTGGTAAAAACATCATCCATAAAGTTTCTACACGAAAATGTACTGTATGGTAGTTGACATCTTGATCGTATCAGGACCAGTGTTTACACAAGTTCAGTACTGGCGTAAACATTCAAAGGTCCTTCATATATTCTGCAAAAGAAACATGGGAAATGATTTAAAGTACACATATACATCTTTTGCTTAGTATGTTTAGAGTGTTGGAACTTTTAAAAAATATTCCTTAATTCTGTTCCCTTTTTTCAGATTAGAATATTGAATCACACATATCCTAAGGATACCTGACAATAACCATGGTCTATATAATTCCATACAATAGTAACAGGACATTTACTTGTATATCATATTGACTGCACAAATATCTCCTTTATACAACTCAATATAATTCCTGTTGGATTGTGCTTACATTTTCAAGGCGATCAGAATTCTTTGCTGACTTACTTGATGAAATATTCCGGTTCCTCACATTTTTGCAGCTCTCCGTCGATGGAAGCAATACGATTGAAAACGCTTGATTCACCTGGTTTTTCTTTAAACTTTATTTTGATTGATTGAGCACGGCGTACCTTCAGGAAATCCCTCTCAAACTGAAACACATATAATCATTCTACACTTTTAGAAATCTGCTTCTGTAACCGAGTAAAACCTTTCTGAAAGAGAATCCAATTCATTATGCCCTCAATTTTGCATATGGTCTTAATTTCATTCCAGTAGATAAAACTGGTCTTATTCTCATTCCAATACATTCTAAGTTTCTCTCCATATAGTGAACCCCATAAGAAGCAGGTATTACTGACAGATCACTATAATTACTTTAAAGTAATACATATATAATCAAAGTAATACATATATAATCAAAGTAATACATATATAATCAAAGTAATACATATATAATCAAAGTAATACATATATAATCAAAGTAATACATATATAATCAAAGTAATACATATATAATCAAAGTAATACATATATAATCAAAGTAAAAGTAATACATATATAATCAAAGTAAAAGTAATACATATATAATCAAAGTAATACATATATAATCAAAGTAAAAGTAATACATATATAATCAAAGTAATACATATATAATCAAAGTAAACATATACATATATAATCAAAGTAATACATATATAATCAAAGTAAAAGTAATACATATATAATCAAAGTAAAAGTAATACATATATAATCAAAGTAATACATATATAATCAAAGTAAAAGTAATACATATATAATCAAAGTAATACATATATAATCAAAGTAATACATATATAATCAAAGTAAAAGTAATACATATATAATCAAAGTAATACATATATAATCAAAGTAATACATATATAATCAAAGTAATACATATATAATCAAAGTAATACATATATAATCAAAGTAATACATATATAATCAAAGTAATACATATATAATCAAAGTAAAAGTAATACATATATAATCAAAGTAATACATATATAATCAAAGTAATACATATATAATCAAAGTAATACATATATAATCAAAGTAATACATATATAATCAAAGTAATACATATATAATCAAAGTAATACATATATAATCAAAGTAATACATATATAATCAAAGTAATACATATATAATCAAAGTAATACATATATAATCAAAGTAAAAGTAATACATATATAATTTACATATATAATCAAAGTAATACATATATAATCAAAGTAATACATATATAATCAAAGTAATACATATATAATCAAAGTAATACATATATAATCAAAGTAATACATATATAATCAAAGTAAAAGTAATACATATATAATCAAAGTAAAAGTAATACATATATAATCAAAGTAATACATATATAATCAAAGTAATACATATATAATCAAAGTAATACATATATAATCAAAGTAATACATATATAATCAAAGTAATACATATATAATCAAAGTAATACATATATAATCAAAGTAATACATATATAATCAAAGTAAAAGTAATACATATATAATCAAAGAAATAAATATATAATCAAAGTAATACATATATAATCAAAGTAATACATATATAATAAGTAATACATATATAATCAAAGTAATACATATATAATCAAAGTAATACATAATACATATATAATTAAAGTAATACATATATAATTAAAGTAATACATATATAATCAAAGTAATACATATATAATCAAAGTAATACATATATAATTAAAGTAATACATATATAATCAAAAATGTACAGAAAGGATATATTCAGCTTGTTACATTTGTATGCGAGTTGCAAAACTGTGATTTTTAAAAATGGGACACATTATTAATATTATATATCTGCAACTCTTAACGGCCAAAATACTTATTTTAGGAAATGAGTTTACTTGGAAATAAATTTTTCATATCTCCTCTAACGGGAAGTTGTAGAACAAATTAACTATGCCATCAACATATTTGCATCTTTCTCCCACTGGATACTCAAGCTTACCGCAACTTCATTTCTCCTATAAAGATGAAGAAAATGCTGAACCAATTGTATTTTGCCCAAACGTTCATAAACTACAATGAACATGTCCCCTCTGTGTGCCCTATTCACATTGGCTAAACAGGACTTGTACATGTTGAAATGTCCGTTCTCGTCCAGGAGAGGGAATGGCCACATAAGTATCATGGAAGTATCCTGATTCAGTTTTTCTGGAAAAAAATGTTGCATGTCTTTTGTGTGTACGCTATATTTGTGATAGATGTACAGGTAAGTTTACAGCATTTGATGGCAGTTCATCTAAGCAGCAGTCAACAGATGGGGAGGGGGAGAAGGGGGGGGATTGGGGGATTTTTTTTGGACACAATATCTAATATCTATCAGGATTTTTATGATATATGTCTATCAGATCAACTTATCGGTTATATGAAGACAGTGTCCATGGATGACTATTAACAGATACCTCTATAGTGCTATCCCACTGAAATGTCACAACCTGGACATTTTAGCAAGGAACAGCAACCATTCACCTTACACAAGGTATTGACAGTGGACTTGATATGGTATGTATGAGATCAAAGGATTCCAGGTGAAGGTTAGATAATCATAATAACTATTTTACACAAAGAGCTAACAGCACAAGACATGTCAGTCAATCTCCAACTGACACACTGTCTCACAAAAGTGAACTCGTATATCCCAAGCATGATGTTCTTATGATGAGTAGTGTAGGGCATGGAGCCAGGACAAACTTTGTCTTTGATAATTGTCAAATGTCAAAATGTAGGTCAGAGTGACCTGCATTTCATATGCTACACACCATCTCACCAAGGTGAAGCCATATCTCAAGCATTAAAGTTTCATGATTATCAGTGTAAATGATAGGAAATTAACAAATTTTACTTTGATGTAGGTCAAAGGTCAAAATGTAGGTCAGAATGACCTGCTATTGATATGGGGTACACTTTCTCACCAAGGTGAAGCCATATCTCAAGCATGAAAGTTTCCATGATTATCTGTGTAGAAGATAGGAAATTTTATTTATCTGGGTCAAAGGTCAAAATGTAGGTCAGAATGGCCTACTGTTGATATGGGGAAGAAACACAGAACAAAATGAACAGGTAGGTAAGAGGGACAGAAAAAGTCAATTTAATTTTACTAAAGCTTCTGAAAGGTAGAAGACGGCAAACAGAGCTGCTTCACTTCCGCTGAACAACAAAAAATGGCTCTGTTTCTGTTAGACAATAGTGCTTAAAGACTTCATCCTGGAAGTTTCACTTTCCATTCAGACATGAGCACTTTCATATACCCTTGTGACGACTTTATATAGTGGTTCTATGTACATGTGTACATGTATGTCTTTGCTACCAACATTCAAATTAATTCATAGACCATATCTCAACTTCTGTTTACATATTACACATGGTTATAGGGTGAGGAATCCCCATGAGATGCCATGTCTGTGATGTCACATGACATCTAAATGAAGCTGATGAACAAGTGACCAAATATTCAAGTATCAGTACAGTGACCAAATATTCAAGTATCAGTACAGTTCATCACTGTCAGGCATAGAATTTGAAAAAAACTATAGCATATATCATAGCCCTTGAATGAATGAATGCCTTTTCAAGTTCTAGTAGTTAGTCGTGTAGAAGGTAGGGCTCAGACGAGATAGCGGAAGGATTGAAGGACGGATGGACAGACACAATGCAAAACTGTAGTCCCCTTTGGTTCCCAGTGGGAGACTGATTGCCATATCATATCCCTACAATGAAAAATATTGCAAGGTCACCCAAATGATAAGACGTATAATCACCTTCTTCATAAACAAATTCCTCATGTTGCTGTGTTCCTTCTCCTACGGTGACCCTCTTCCTGAAAAAAAGAATACAGTAATGTACAGCTGTTTTTAATTTGTAATGGTTAATCATTCAGGGCAGACAGATTAATTATGAAAATACAAAATCACTAATTTGCTACAGGTGCCTACAAGTGAATAAGGGTGCTCTATTTGTCAGGAGAAAATTTCTGTGATCTTAACCTTCGGGTACTTTAATTTAAACAATATTTATTCAAAAGTTCAACAGTATAACTACACATGCATTTATTAAATATAGGAAAGGTATACACACTTAAAGTTTATATTAATTTTCATGAATAAAAGATTTCCTAACCAGGTCACCAACAAGTTTTGTAGTCTGAGGTGGAAAAACATGAACAGAGAGAATTACTTTACCCACTATAAAGGTCATGAACTCTTTAATCAAATGTGATTATATTCACAGTACACATACAGTTTTTAAGTCCTGTACAATGTATAATGGTTTTCTCAAATGCTTCATCATTCATTGAATGAATGGAAACACTGATGAAATAATGATAATCAAATTTTTTTTAATCCATTTAATCAACTATGAATTGGTTATATTACAATTATTTTAACACAGAGTAAAGATACATTAGGAGACAATAGTCTTTCCCCATAAGATACAATATCAGCCATGAGTGTAGACAGACAATGATCGGAGTTGATAGCATTAACTTGCTTTGCCATTCGAACAAGAAAATCAATTCAAAACATGCATGTTTAGAATATCGAGAAGACCAGCATGAAGCTTGAGATTAATTACAGATAAATAATTTTAAAACCGTTTGCACAAAAATTGATGAACAGACATCTCTAGAACATCAATTATGAGTGGATATCAAGTTTGAATATTGGTTATACAATACCTTTTGTTCAGTGTGATCTCTGCTTCAACAAATCGTATCCCTCGGAACATGAAGACAAGAGGTAACGCTGAAGATAAAAAATTATCAACAACGAAACTTGATAGGTAAACTAGAAACGATTTAATGGGACTATATACCTCCTTCATCTATGGTTAGGACCAAAAAGGCTAAAGCTATGGAAAGATAAAATGCCTATACCTATCAATTATACAACGTCTGTAGGACTGCAACATGAAAATGAATTTAAATGAAATGTAGTATGGGAAAAATTAGCTTTTCCAAAAATGGGAAAATATAGTTTACCAAATAAAATGTATCAAGAAAAATAAACTTTCTGAGTTTAAAAGCTGAAACAATTCACATTTAAGATTTTAGTAACAAAAAAGCGCCATGAGAAATTGAGAAAATTCAGGGGCCATAACTCAAGGAACCATCAAAAAATCAGAAACTTCATTTAGCTTCCATATCTACTTATTATGACCTTTCACAGGACCATGTTAAAAAAATTGAGAAATTTGGTTTGGAAGAGATTGTGTTCACTGGCTTTTATAATCTGACAGAAGGATGGAATGAAAGATGGCTATACAGAAACAGACATGGTGATTTGTAAACATTCTTGTGCATACAATGCTCAAACTTAATTGCTTGTGAAGGGTGTAACAATTACACTCACAACATGATTCAATTTGTTTATTCAATGCTACAATAAACTATAGTTTACATACTCTCCTTCCCCCTTTTCCTTAAAAAAAAAGTACATAGCAAGTATAATAATGTGTGATCATGCTAAGTTGTAATGTGAGCAAGTTGATGACTGATGTTTTTTTTAAATGTATAAATAATAATGAAACTCAATTGCATGAAAACATTTGAAATTTATTTCATTCTTTGTTGTCTTTATCTCCATTCTGTCATAAATGCCCGACGACTCTAAATATAACTACGTGAAGGGAGAAAATCCAATATGGCTGACAGAGAACTTGAGAATGTTCACCCCAAGAAAGGTATGCTCCTGTGTATAGTTCGCATCCCTCTTTTGACACAACAGTTTTTGTGTGCACTATACATGCAAAATTACAGTAAAATTTGAGGAGACATTCCCTATAATCTTCTCCAGACTGAGTAAAATCTCACCAATGTACCGAGCTGCTTTCATCCAGCGTAGTTTCTTGTCTGCTATGTACATCATTTCTGCACCAAGTCCTAGCCCAGTTACACAGCCACTGTAGCCCACTAGTTTATCATCAGCATATGTACCCAGTATCCTGCTTGGCCGAACCTTACCTACACCAAGAATTATCTCAGTTAGTCCATAGTACCCGACCTTGAGGCTAATTTCTTAGCAGACTAAAATATTGAGTTGTCAACTTTGAACCTGTTACAAATTTTCTGCCTGTCATTGTTTGATAAACATATTATTAGCTCAGTTATCTGAATAGTAAATTGTCATGTTACATTGTCCTTAACTAATAATACTTACCCTTGATGATGTGGAGTGTCACTGTGAAGACATCCTGACATCCATACAGACCTCCCACCAAACTGTTTCCTTGTAGACATAATGATACTTACCCTTGATGACGTGGAGTGTCACTGTGAGGACATCCTGACATCCATACAGGCCTTCCACCAAACTGTTTCCTTGTAGACATAATAATACTTACCCTTGATGATGTGGAGTGTCACTGTGAGGACATCCTGACATCCATACAGACTTCCCAACAAACTGTTTCCTTGTAGACATAATGATACTTACCCTTGATGATGTGGAGTGTCACTGTGAGGACATCTGACATCCATACAGACTTCCCAACAAACTGTTTCCTTGTAGACATAATAATACTTACCCTTGATGATGTGGAGTGTCACTGTGAGGACATCCTGACATCCATACAGACTTCCCAACAAACTGTTTCCTTGTAGACATAATAATACTTACCCTTGATGATGTGGAGTGTTACTGTGAGGACATCCTGACATCCATACAGGCCTCCCACCAAACTGTTTCCTTGTAGACATAATAATACTTACCCTTGATGATGTGGATTGTCACTGTGTGGACATCCTGACATCCATACAGACCTCCCACCAATCATTTCCTTGTAGACATAATAATACTTACCCCTGATGACATGAAGTGTGGCTGTGAGGACATCCTGACATCCATACAGACCTCCCACCAATCATTTCCTTATAGACATAATAATACTTACCCTTGATGATGTGGAGTGTCACTGTGAAGACATCCGGACATCCATACAGGCCTCCCACCAATCATTTCCTTGTAGAAATAATAATACTTACCCTTGATGATGTGGATTGTCACTGTGTGGACATCCTGACATCCATACAGACCTCCCACCAATCATTTCCTTGTAGACATAATAATACTTACCCCTGATGACATGAAGTGTGGCTGTGAGGACATCCTGACATCCATACAGACCTTCTGAAACTCCATTTCCTGTCCCTGAAAATTTACAAGACCATTCAATTTAACACAATGTACAATTCTGCCAAGAAGATCAATGGGCCTACATCTCTCACCTGTCACATTGTTGGACTTATTCCAAAAAAGGCATGAATCATATATATAGGCATTTTTAGATTTTGTAGTAGAAATTGTTTAATTATTTGACCTCTGTGACCCTAAAGGTAGGTCTTATTTATTAATTTTAAGAAGACAGGTAGCCCTTTATCTATGCATGCTTATGTCAGTTACTTTGGCCTCTAAGTTATTGAGAAGAAGTTGCTTATAGACTTTAACACTCTTAAACCCTGTTACCTTGAAAGTAAAGAAAGACAAGTTATTCATTCAGACAAACTTGGTAGTCCTTCATCACAGCTTAAATATCAGCAACATAGGCAAAGTGGTCATTGAGAAGAAGTTGTTCACATTGAAAAGTTGAGGATGGATAGGTGGGAGATGCTCACTTTGAGTTGGTGAGCTGAGAGGCTAACACCCATACTTTTATGTATCATTGATAATTTATTACCACAAAGACAAACAATCTACCAAGGCAACCTGACACTTAGAGATAAATATATGGTTGGTGTGTTGTTTAACTAGAATGCTAATTTAAGTTGACATTTATGAGGTCAGACAATATAACTTTTTAACTGTATCCAGGTGAGTTTGCTATAAAAAATTTAGGAATCAATGTTCTTTTCCCTGGTTACCAAATGGCAAGTTCTAAACACTGTTTCTATTTCATTACTCTACTTCACTCATGCTAGCAGCCCTGACCCGAACACATACACCTGTAGGTATGCTAGCAGCCATGACCCTAACACATACACCTGTAGGTATGCTAGTAGCCATGACTCTAACACATACACCTGTAAGTATGCTAGCAGCCCTGACCCCAACACATACACCTGTAGGTATGCTAGCAGCCATGACCCCAACACATACACCTGTAGGTATGCTAGCAGCCATGACCCTAACACATACACCTGTAGGTATGCTAGCAGCCATAACCCTAACACTATAGCACCTTTACCTGTAGGCATGATAGCCAGAGGTATGGATACAGTCTTGAGTTCAGCTGTAGAATCATTGTAGTCAATTCCAGCTTCTTCTTGGGTCTTTCTCAGCAGGACATTTATAATCTCTGTGAATGTTCCGTCCCCTCCCATCATTACAATTCTGTTAATACGGATATAAAATCATTACTATTGTTGGTAGCATGTTGTGTGTATACCAACTAAATAATGGCACCTGATACACTAACAAGGTGGGTAACAGGTAACACAACAGTATAACATCAACAGAATGATTGACAACTCACCCATCCATGGACTTGTAGTCAAATGTCTTAATCACCTCAATAAGGTGTTTAGGTCCTTCAGAAACTGAAATATGAAATTCAAATTGAAGTCTGAGATAAATAACAAACAATATCTAAACATAATCCATAGCAATATAAAACTACCAGTAACTACTAGTTGTTCAATATCCAACACTACAACAAGACAAAATCCACCATCTTATTGTAATTTTTGGCTAACTTCAACTAGATATAAACCACACTTACTAGATATAAACCAACACTTAATAGATACAAACTAATGTTAACTAGATACAAACCAACACTTACTAGATATAAACCAACACTTACTAGATACAAACCATACTTACTAGATACAAACCATACTTACTAGATATAAACCAACACTTACTAGATACAAACCACACACCACACTTACTAGATACAAACCACACTTACTAGATACAAATCATACTTACTAGATATAAACCAACACTTACTAGATACAAATCACACTTACTAGATACAAACCAACACTTACTAGATACAAACTAATGATTACTAGATACAAACTAATGTCTACTAGAGATAAACTAATGTTTACTAGACACAAACTAATGTTAACTAGATACAAACTATTGTTAACTAGATACAAACTAATGTTTACTAGATACAAACTAATGTTAACTAGATACAAACTATTGTTAACTAGATACAAACTAATGTTTACTAGATACAAACTAATGTTTACTAGATACAAACTAATGTTTACTAGATACAAACTAATGCTAAATAGATACAAACTAATGTTAACTAGATACAAGCTCTTACTACATACATATACATGTATGTACACATGTAGATACAAACTAGTGCTTACTGGATGCAAACCAACACTAAATGAAACAACAAAACAACACAAATTAGAAAAAAAAATAGAAAACAAAACTAGCATAAATCAGATGCAAACTAATTAGACAAAACTAACACTATAACTAAATGATATAAATGTGACAAAACCAAGACTAATTAAACCTTAACTTGCTGCTACTAACTAGATACAGTTCATGGATGTTGTCTAACACTAACTACAGTGTAGATGTTGGCTACAGCTAACTTGGCATTACTTAGCATTAACTAAGTATAAAAAAACAATGAATAGCTAGATGTAAAACTAAGACTTATGAAATAACGTTACACACATTAAAGACATGCTGAATAAACACTGATTAGCAGTAGGATAATGAGTATAGAAATACAAAGTGCAAAAAACAAACTGTTTTAAAACTTCAGAAGTTTATACAGAAATCCAAACAAAGCTATTTATTAACCTACTAGAACCAAAAATATAGAACTTTCACTAATAAGAAGTAAAGGTATCACACTCATTATGTACTTATATTAAATGAAAAAAAGTTATCACAAAATTGTAATCTTACAATATTCCTTTATATTTTGTTTGCTTTATTGAATTAATTTCCCATTTTCATCAAAGTTAAACTAATCAGAATAAATTGTGTGACTTTCATTAATACTTCACCAATAAGATGGCAGGAAATGTTGGTTAACTCAAACAATGGCGTCATCACCGTGTCATACATAGTTCTGGCTTGTCTTTTCCCACCAATAGGGTTCAACAGTATAAGCAGTTTCTTTGGTCTTGTTTCCACAACTGTAGATACAAAGGTACTAACAATAATTGTTCCTCTTCAAACTTTCAGAAAGGAATTAATATATTAAGCTTTAAGTTTGTTGTCCATCCCATAATTAATGTACACATGTGAAATATTATTGTTCAAAAAAATTTTGGTTTGGTTGAAATAACACTGAAGTAAGAATAGGGCTGTTATAGCTTATTCAGTACAGTGTCCGGGTATCATCTCACAGACAAATGTCAGTGTTCTGGCGACATCAGTAGATTGTTGGCCTTCACAACCTCTGGTGTAGATGCATGATTCAACGCTCCCTACCCACAGGGATTTGTGTTTTCTGGGATGCTGAGTATACAATAATATAAATGCTTTCATCACAAACCTTTGTCAAACTTGGGTTGAACTGTCTGTAGAAACCTTTCATAATCTCCTTCCTTCCCGGAACTTGGAGTTATCTTGATAGTGGCATGATTCCATTTTGGATCATCCTCAACTTTCTTGATATAATGGATGATGGTAGACAAAGCATGTGGAAGATCCTGATCATCAGATTCTAAGTTGTTACCTGTTGTGTCTTCCCTCTTTATGGCAATAATATCATCAAAGGCTAAGGTCACTGTGGAAATATATCGAGTATGTCTGCTGTGAGTTTTCTATAATGGAGCCTTAAATCATCACAGACAATAAAATATTGTAAATTTTCAACAAAGTCTTTTCTAGATGTTCTCAATGCAAATACTGTATCAATAATTAATTATTTCACAATTAAAATCAATACAAGTAAACACTACCCACAGCATGCATCACTACTGGCTAATTTTGCCTCTGATATAAGGCTTCGTTACTTCCTGTTAAATTTGTTAAATTTCACAATCAGAATTTAGTGAAAAAATCAACCATTGTTATTATTACAAAGATTCTGAAATCAAGTAATAGTTTTTTTCTGAATCATATGTGATATACATAGGAATCATCATATATATCTTCTAATACTTTTAAACTTCAGCACACATAACTAAATCTGACAGTGTACTTATCTTCAGAAAAATAAATACAAGAAAATTTCAAAAGTTTTAAATGCTTATTATTAAAGGTCCTCTGAGAAAATGTAACAGAAAGTACAACAGATTTTTTTCTGTGGATGAGGACATTATTTTGGGGACACAGGTGCATACAGGCAGTGATTATCCATATTTCATATTTCACTGACTTTAAACTACATGACTTTCTCCTGTCAAAGCCTATATATTTGTTATACAAATGTATATTGCATACCCATATGTTTAAACTTAAATGCTTCAAATGAAATACAAAAAATGTACTTGTACACACACATATATACCTGTATGGCCAGCTGCGTCAACACTGGACCCCTTTTCATCTGGACATGGTTCAGTGACCATTGGTAGCAATACAACTGCTTCATCCTGTACTGAACAGCTACAAACATTTCCATCTGACTTCACCTCCATGGTGGTGGACATTTTATAACTACTGGTGATACTGTAATTAGACCAGCATAACATGTCATCAAGCAAAAAGGACATCACATATGAATGATAAATATCATAAGTTTAATTGAATTGTTATGTTTCTGTTCAGGAAACGAATCTCTGCAAACAGTTTTCCTAAAGCATCAAAAGATCAAAAGAATTTTAAAATATTGCAAATACATGTAGGTCATGTAATTTATTTAAGCAAAAAACAAGCGACTTTAATTAATGTTCATTAAACAAGAGATCCCAAATGGATCTTGGCGCCCACCATTGTTTGATCTTTATATTTTCTTTGAATGTTGGATTTTTCCCTTCATTTCTCTTCTCTGTTTTTGCTCTTAATGATAAGAAATTGAACATTAACACCTTGCAGAAAAAGTGACATAATCGTTAACTGCCAAGTCCAAGATGGTCGACTGGAAGCCATTTTGTTTTTTCTGATCAGTCCCAAAATCAAATTGGCACTAAGGACCAAGGAGAACCAACATATATGACATTTGAGAGAGATCTATCCAGTACTTCTCAAGAAATAGCGATAACAAAAACTCATTGAAAAGTCAAAGATGGCCACTTACGGTAACTCTATTTTCTGATCAGTCCGAAAATCAGACAGGCACAACTAGAGACCAATGGAAACCTACATATGAAATTTGAGAATGATCCATCCAGTACTTCTCAAGAAATAGCGATAACAAATACTATTTATGGACAGACGGACGGACGACTGGCCTGGGACGTAGGGCGATTTGAATAACTGGGTAGAGCTCTTAATTGCTACAAATTTAGCAAACGTTGAAGAAAAACATAATCCTGTTCAACAATCTGTACATTGTGATGCACAAAATTACACGTTTGTTTTCTTAGCGATGTAACACATTTGAGTTGATCTTCAAAATAACATTACAACAAAAGAAATATTATTCAGAATGACAAAACTATATGTTCCAGTGATTTTTCTCTTGGTTGAATGCACTCAAATCAATCGTTTACCTGATGGACGAACGTCAGATTCCTCTGTGTCTTGGCTATTGAAGATTTTAATGTTCCTGTCTTTTGTCCAGAGGCGTATATATCACATATATACGTCTATGCTTTTGTCCTCCGATTTGTCATGTAATCGGGAAATCAAAAGATAATATTCGTGTGTGAATAAAATTACAAAAAAATGATTCTTGACTGGTAAAAATAAGAAAATTATCAAATGAAATGAAGTGCGATATGCAGCTGATCGGTATCACGTATCACATCTTTTGTGTCCTACTTTCGCTTTGTAATCTGTGTTCCTGCAGTGTTTCATTTTAAAGCCGATTTAGACTTATGGTTTTACAAGCGCCTAGTTAACCCATAATTGTTTGTTTACGTCTGAAAGATGACTTCCTATATATTACAGATTGGTGAAGAACAAGCAGATTCAGAGGTGATTGTTGATGAAAAGTGTATGCAATTCACAGATAAAAAGGAAAAAGGTAGGTGCATATGTTGTAAACGAGAATAAGGGTTATAGATAATTTGTTTTCAACAGAATTAGATATACAGATGTATCTCTTTATCTAAAAGTCCGTGATTTCAGTACAGTAGAGAATGCTCAGGAAATTGCTCAAAGTTACGAACAGATGTCACTGTATCATTGTGACAAAGTCATATTTTGTAGTATATGATGTCCAATAACATAACCATATGTATGTAAAATTATATGTCTCCAATGCGAGTATAATAGAAGGGAGGTAACTCGCATTACAATAGTGATTGATAATGTCTCAATAAGTGGTACAATATGGTCATGTTTTATATCTTTAAACGTAATGTAACATACTGAAAAGGAAAAGAACATCATCATGATAGTATTTTCACGTATAATTTTTCAGTTAATTTGTTGATATAATCAGTTGTTTGGTGACAATTTTATTAAAGTCCACCATCTATCTATGCTAATTTATGAATTATCGATTTATATAATCTACCGCGTAGATGAAAAATGATCATGTGCATGTACTTGCATCATTGATTTTGACAACCGTAGTTATATTCTCAAACATTTTAATACCAGTTCAATCGGTAGGAAAACAATGTGATTGTACAATGAAAAAAATGGTTACAATGCATGACGATCAAACATGTTTTAAATTGATGAAGAATTCAAAGAATTGATTACATGTATATTACCATTACAATGTACATATACGTCCCTACACATGAAGTTTAAAAGCTATTTTATATCATTGTTGATAGTTTAACCCCATTTGGAGCAATAGAGTGGACCCTTTTATCACTTGCTTCACACTAGATCTAAAATGAACATTTCACTTTCATTTCAAAATCTTATCGGGTAATGTTAATGATTTTTTTTGATATTAATTTTCAATATATAACACATTTCACAATAGAAATGATCAGCTGTCTCGTATCTATGGCAAGAGCATGTTCTCACAGTGACTTTACATTGAGTCGTAGACTTATAGTTCTGCAATCCTATCTAAATACATTGTTGTTTCAAAACCTTTATCCTTCTCTACTTTTACTGTAATCTAACAAGTAATATTCATTTTCATTTTTTACGAGAAATTGTCTCACACCAGGGGTACTTTGACTCAACACTCGGTCTGTTGTATCACGATACCAAAATGACCGCGAGTGTAAAGCCTGAACATGTTTACATATATATATATATATCCAAATTTCCACAGATTTGGACCACGAACGGTAAAGTGTTATTCAAAGATAAAACGTATAAAGTTCATCAGATCCGACAGGAATCTGAACTTGAGCATTTCGGGCATGTGGTGATGGTCGCTGAGTCTATGTCGGCCAGACCGGTACGTCGACAGTGACGGTCCTTTTCATTCCATTATGGTTCACATCTACGAGTAGAATCTGATTGTACAACCTTGCTCTATTTGTGTTATGCTTAATGTCCAATTCTAATTATTTAGTCAATTATCTTCATTCGTGTTTATTTTTGTTCTGTTTTGTTGTGATTAATGTCTAACTATGCTACAGTCAATTATCTTGATTGCAATTATGTTCTTTTTTCTTCTTGTTATGCCCATTGTCCAACTATCTTTTAATATGTTTGGTATTCATGCGTGCTATTGTCAACTATCATGAGTGTATTCCTTTGATAACCCTATTTTTAATATGCTTAATTTCCATCTATGCCACTATTTAATATCTCTCTGCGTTTTGATATTTTTGCCCTACTTTGGCTGTACTCACTATTCATTCCTGCTGGTGTCAATTATCACGATGGTGTTATTCTGTTTGCCCTATTTGTGCTACGGTTAGTGTCTTATTAAATAATTGTCAAATATTTCGATGCGTTTTAATGTTTTCGTCCTAGTTTGTTATGCTTACTATTCTTTCCTGCTGTTGTTAAATACCTTGGATAGTATTATTCTGTTTGCCCTTTTTGCACTACTTGCGAATCGATATGCGTAACTCCCAATTATGCTTCTGTCAAAGATATATAGGCATATTATTACTATGTTTGTTAGGCTTTACATCTATTCATGTCCGTGTCAAATATTTTGATTGCATTCTTAATGTTGCCCACTTCTTATTATGCTAAATATTGTTTTGCTTGCCCAGGTTTATTATGCTTAATATTCTTTTATGCTGCTGCTAATTACTTTAATTGTAAATTTTGTTTGCACCATTTATGTTATTCTTCATATTCAACAATGCCCCTGTCAAATGTTTTTGGTTAGATTTTTCTAATACTTTTTCCTATTCATATATACCTATAAGACCCAAAATAACAGTTCTTAGTGTTGCAGACATAATACCAGAACATTTCTGTTGTGAATTTTGAATTACCATTACTCCCATTCCTATTACAGCTTGTCGTTGACGCAATTCAATGTGTTTGATGTGTCGTATAGAACATTTCTATGTAGTGTAACACCACTAGACCCCACAATCACAAATTATGTATACATGTGCATTACCATTTTTTATACTTTGTATGCATATATAGAATTTAATCTGTCGTTTAACAAGTAACTCAACCCTATTAACGATTAACGTTGCGATTAATGTTGGTATCATCTCTACTTCTTTTTGTGTAGATAACTTGCGAAATATTTACAAGCGAATTGTTAGTTTTTATCTACTGTTGATATTAAATTCACAATTATGGAAAATAATGTATAAACGATATATATATCGTTATCTAGATGCATAATTACTCATTGTACACATACTTCTAGAGCAAAACAATGTGTTCTATCTTCACATCTATTTTCACAAAGTAAGTATATTAAGACACGTACCTAAACCATTGATATTGTAAATCCAGGTTGATGTTATCCGTCCGTACCTTATATGTACATATTGTGATTGTAGTAATTTGATTATTTCTTCTTAATTTTAGAGACACTGTTTGCATACATCAGTAACAGATGTGACCTTTACAATTTACGAGATCTAATATTCTGCTACAACAGTTTATTCCATGTATGTGGGGACTGCCACAACCTTTCGACCGGAGGTACTCACATATGTGTGTAATACACGTGTGTGTACCGTAGATTGGGAGGACGTGCGGACCTCTTAGTTCTAGTCTACTACATCTATAGTAACACATAAATTGTCTTCATGTATTATTACCTATGGAAACTGAGTGGACAGTGTCAACTCCAGTTACTACTTAATCCTGACACTCGGTCTCTCTACTCCTTTCTCCTCCTAACCCCTTATCGACTTCCGTGTATGTACTTTTTTATTATTTGCATTTTTTCTTGTTTCTTACCTTCTTATTCCAACCCCATCCCCGCTTCCCGTCATACCTTTGATTATACATCCAATTACACTTTGTAAGACACCTCTTCGTGTACAGCATTCTCTATTCTACCTCTCTGGTATTACGTCATGCCTGTTAACGTATCGCTTTATCGTACTCTAATTGACGTCTTCAATAACTGCACCCAGTCATCAAATTTAGTTCTGTATGTGAACATTATAAACTTAACACGAAAAAAGTCTACTAATACCTTGTTGATTTCTATATCACTGAATCGCTTGGAGTTTCTGTTATATGTCCCTAAACGTCGTAAGTCACTTTATTAGTTTATTTATTCTTTAGTAGATATACTCAGCTTCATTTCTCTTTCATCCAGCATCTATTTATTGGCAAAATGATATCAGGTGACGTTGAGTCAAACCCAGGTCCTCTATCTACTGAGTCGTCGATCTCGTCAGTAAGATCTGTTGACAGTACCCAATTCTGTACTGACAAACACTCCTTCGTCCACCTCAACATTCAAAGTACTAAGAATAAGTTTAATGTATTATACACTGAACTGTGCTCCTTTTCCATACTATCATTCACTGAAACTTGGTTAAGTGAAACTGATATCTCCTCTCCTGTCATTCATATGCCTGGATTTTCTGATCTATTCTGTTAATGCAGGTCTGACTATCTGGTGATGGAATATATGTCTATGTTAAAGATAATATCGCAGCCAAGCGAAGGAATAACCTAGAGCTACCTGCCATTGAGTGCGTCTGGCATGAACTAGTCCTTGGCAGCAATAAGATTTTGCATGGTACTTTCTATAGACCACGAAATTCTGCGGTTATAACTTGGTAATACATTTCCTAATCCATTCACAATACTCTCAATACTGGTATAATGAATATTATGATTACGGAAAATTTCAATGCCTACCTACTAGTAAACCAGCAGTCTACCCACTTACGTGACCTGCTTATTTCTTTAATTTAACGCAACTTGTAGAAGATTCAACGTTTTACACCGAAGTTTCTTCTTGACTCCTTGATATAGTATGCACAAGTAATGCCAGCATAATCAATTAATGTCCTGTAGGTGAGAGTTTTCTAGACCACCCCATCAGATACCACTGCCCAACTTACTGTTCTATCAACATTGTTAAACCAGTGCAGCAGTCCTTCATGTTTGGCAGTTTAAACATGGTAACTATTTGTCATTCAGAGAAAAACTCAGTGCAGTTGATTGGGACTACCTACTTGATGTCGACAATATGGATTCTGCAGTGAAAACTTTATTTCTGCCTTACTTGATATCGCTAAATCTTGCATTCCGAATAAAGTAAGATCTAACGAACCTCCTTGGATCACTAATGAAAATCGTAAACTCATCCGCAAACGCAAACGAGTACATGAGAAAGCCAAACGTACCACGAATAACGCTCACTGATTGCCTTTCCGGCATGTTAGAAATGTATGTGTTAACGCCATCAAGAATGTAAAACTTCAATATATTAATAACTTATGTGGAAAACTTAAGAAACCCTCTAATCCAAGTGCGAGAGACTGTTGGAAAACTGTTAGATTGTTAACACCGGACACCGGTAAATTTTTCATACCCTCTCTGATACACAATGATTTTATAATCTCAGACGATTTCAGCTTGCCTGTTAAATTTTTTCTGTGCTCAGTCAAACACCGATGATTCCAAAGTAAATCTTCCCTCTCTTGACGATAAAACTAACGCACATTTACTAACAATAAACATAACTATCACTGATGTTAAAGTCTCCATTCTAACTTAGAATTGCTCAAAAGCCGTCCGTCCTGATCTTGTCAATCCTCGGTTACTCAAATAAGACCTCAGATATCCTTTGTTATCCTCAAATTTATCTTTTTAATAAATCCATTAACACTAGTGCATTTCCTACTGAATGGAAAATGGCTAATGGTACCCCAGTTTACAGATAGCATGTCTATTCTAACCAATTACAGGCACATCTCTCTTTTATCAATAGCAGGAAAATTAATGGAATGATGTGTTTTTAAAATGTATATAATTTCATTGTTACCCATTCCTTATTATCACCTTTCTTGTCTGGTTTTAGATATGACGACTCACCAACCAACCAGCTTCTATCTATCGTTAATGATATATATCCCTCACTTGACCAAGACCAAGTAATGCAAATGGTCTTCTGCGACATTAGTAAAGCATTCGATCGTGTTTGACACAAAAGTCTTCTGTGTAAATTATCCAGTTTTGGAATTCGTGGTCCACGTCTCTCATGGTTCGAACACAATCTTCTCAACAGTCAACAAATAGTCGTTATTAATTGTAAACATTCTAATTGGTTCTATATTAAGGCTAGCGTGCCACAAGGCTCTATTCTTAGACCTCTTCTTTTTCTTATATTGATAAATGATATTATGAAAAAAAATAACTCCGTTGTTAAATTATTTGCAGACGTCACATCGCTGTATGTTATTATTGATACACCTATGATACGTGTAGAGATTTTAAACCATGATTCCAAAGAAGTCCACGAATGGTCACAAGACTGATTAGTGAACTTCAATCCTGCTTAAACAGAAGTACCTCTAATAAGCCGGAAAACTATTACCCCTAATCACCCATCACTAGTAATGAATAATACTCACATTTCCGAAATAACATCCCACAAACACCTTGGCGTATTTCTTTCTAATATTGGGAGTTGGAATATTCACATTAACTACTTACTAACAAAGGTTTCGTCAAAGTTAAATATTTCACGGAAATTTAAGTTGACTTTAGACCGCTCATGCATTCAAACTTTGTATTTCTCTCTAATTAGGTCAATATTAGAAGACGGGAACATTATCTGGGACAATTTCACCCATGCACAATCCGATTTTCTGGAAAAAATTCAGTTAGAAGCTGCACGTATTGTAACTGGTGCAACAAGCCTAACAAGTAGATCTAAACTCTATGCAGAAACTGACTGTCTTCCACTTAACCGAAGAAGCACACATCACAAGATAATCCAATTTCACAAAATGGTTCATCGACTAGTACCCCAATACATCCAAGATCTGCTTCTTGCACGTAACAACTTGACTCGCAGTCATTACACTCGCACTGCCAATAATAAATCTCCTGTCGCACAAGCTTTTATAAAAAAAAATCTTTCTTGTCTTCTGTAATTGGTCCATATAATATGCTGCCAAATCGTATAAAAGGTGATCAATCAATAGGTAGACTTAAAAAACATCTAAACATGTCTAACATTAGAGTGCCGCCTTTTTATTATACTGTTAGCAGAATGGGTCAGATTCTCCACGCCAGACTACGAATGGTGCGCAGTTCCCTCAAATTCTACTTGTTTAAAAAAAAACCTCACTAATAGTCCACTTTGTCTTTGTAATGATGGAGACGAAACAAATGAGCATTTTTTATTGTATTGTCACTTCGACCACCAACTGCGCGTACGTATCTTTAGTGAATTAACTTGCCAGATTTCAGCGCAATTACTACTCTTTGGTAGCGAGGAACTGTCTGTAGATGAAAACAATGGGATCTTCTCATGTGTGAAAAACTTCATCATAAGCTCCAAGAGATTTGATTGATGCTGTATTACATTTGATTTGTATTCTGTAGTATTACTATTAGACTTTTCACATTCTCTCAGCCCTTAAAATTCTGCAGTTTATGTCTGTGTACATTGATTTTATAAAATTTTAATCTTTTGGCATGACGTGAAACTCCTCTCCCTCCTCCCCAACCTACCCTTTCTCTTTCTTTCCCAATTCTCCTCATTTCCTTGTTAGCCACTTTTATTATTGCTGAGTCTAGACTGTTTACACCGTCCTTCGTCTTTAATGAGTTATTATCTTATTAATTAATGTAAGTGCTCAACACATGTTTCAATATTTAATTCATATAATACATATTGATGGCTACTGTTCACCGCTTTTATCATGAATGAATTATATAAAATTTATATCAAATTTCGCATTTTCACGCAATTTAATATATGCATTTTTGTGATCTAAACAATATTACATTTTCCACGCTATCTGTTGTCCTGATACGTATAAATTGGCCAGGTACCACATGGAATTCTTCCATATACTCATCCGTCAAAATAGGCGTCCCCTTGGACATCATGTCATGTTCTATAAAAACGAAAATTTATCGGGCCTGTGTTTTTTTTCTTTTGCAATAGAATTTGCATGTATTGTTATCGTTTTGTTTTTCCCCATAAGTTTTTTTTCTTTTCCTGCGATTAAGTTAAATTGTGTACTTAGTCGCGCCAGAGATCGGATACCAGGCAGTCTATATCTAAGAAGATGATCCCTGGTTTTCACTCACTGGTATAAAAAGTACATATACTGTATAATCTATTGAGTAACGATCATAATGTTAATGCTGTTTAGAAAATATGGTACTTGTGAAATAACGTTCTTGTCCCTGGAAATAACAACTCTGAAGTCTAGGCTAATACCAATGTAAGACATCGCAATTGATAATTAAAACATAATCTCGAGATCCTATTGTTCTTACATCAATAACTAATCACTGTTCATTGTAACATTAATTTCAGTATAAAATGCCCATCGGAAATCATTGAAGATCAAATACACGTATAATCTACATTAATGTGTTTGTTGAGGAAATATTCAGATACATACACATTGAAACGTATACATTTTTATACATATTTTATGCAAAACCTTTTAAATCCAGATTATTAGTAATGTGTCCCCGGGAAGCAAGGCAATGTTGACCTCATAATTATTCAATATTGACTTGTGTATGTAGTCATAATAGTGAAGCTCACAAAGTTATTTTGTGAGTGTAATTGTTATAAATCTATGTAATCAATGTATCGGGTATTAAAAATAATTAGCATTCAAATATATATACAGATAGTCTAAATTATTCTTACATTTTGTCAACTTTCACATTAATTGGTCTGGAAAACTGATATTGTATCTAAAAGTTGATAGAACATATATTGTTGATAGAACATGACTCAGATGAATAAGCAGATTGCTGTGAAAGAAATAAAATGAAATTGAAGTCTGGACCTGACCATTTCCTTTTGATGATAGCAAATCATGTTATCGTTTTTTGCCTTTGTGATGTATGAAGTACATAAACAGTTCTAACATGCAACACCTAAAAACAACTCCTAGCTACTGATGGACAGGGATATCTTGTTTTGGCCCTTTATAAGTGTAATGACATATCAATTAATACTTTATGTTAATCAATTTTTAAACAACAATAACATTTAATGTTCTAGATTTTCTTAATCGAGTTTGAAAAGACCGAGTTCCGTATGAGGTAAACTTTTCCAGTGACAATAAGTTCTTAAAACAATTCTTCTACTAAAGAGAGTACTCATGAGAGAAACTATATTCTACCAGAACAACTAAAATGGTAGACCAGTCTCATTTGGAGCAGTCCTCTAGATATGTCAACAATATACGTTCTAAAAATATTTTTCCAACTCCTTTTATAGGATTTAATTGTAACTTGTCTGGAATGGTCCTGAGATGATGATTACCAGTGTTATCATTAAAATTTTTCGAAAATCACTGTTGTGTACATGGTCAGATAGAGACATTTCATAGTTGTGACCAAGGTTTATGATATTGGGCTAGTAGCAGGCTGGGATGAAGGCTAGGAAGTGTGTTTGAATGAACAACCATGACCTACTTTACAGATCACAGTGGTCAAATGTGTTAAAATCTTCAATCAGCTTCTTCTAAATAGCAAATTGACCATGGGTTATGATATTGGGTCAGTGACATACTCGGGTGATGGGCTACCAAGTTAGTTTAAATGAATTGCCTTAAATTACTTTCAACAAAATTAATTGACAAACGTATCAATGTCCAGTAGGTCGAAGTATGGAACATTGTTTGTAAACAATACCTAAACAACAAAACAAAGAATTGTGCGATTTTTTTTTACATTTAAATGACAGGGAAATCGTAGGGTTTTAATGACTGGAGATTATTTCAGATTGTGTTATATTATGAATTGTTTAAGAGATGTATCAAACTTTGTTTTCACAAAACAACTACACCATTAAAAACAATCACCCACTATTGCCCAAGTCGGACATTTTTTTCGAACAAGTTTGACATGTACAGGGACGAGGAGGTCAGACGATTCAGTATGATTTACATTTAATAGTTCAGTCCTTCTACAGTTTTCTATTAAATGATGACGACATCTTGTTCCCCTACACATGTCCATGTTGTATGCTATGTAATCTATGATTAAACATTGTTGGTTGAATACTTATTTTAGATGAAAATGTTATTTTTTCCCTTCTGTTCTTATTGATCTGGTACAGTATGTGTTGAGTTTGCTGACCTGATAGCTGTGCCGGACCCGAGTTCTGATGACCAGGGACTGGCTGTTACTATATACTATATAAAACATACAGTATTCCTGCTGTCGAAGGAGACTGTCCGAATCCATGGTCAAGCTACAATTGTCAGACAGTTCTTTCAAGATGTGAAAGAGAAATTTATGCAGGGTTAGTATTTAATCTGTGGTCCAACATGCGAGAGACATGATATTTTACTAATGTTCAGCTTCTCTTCAATCTCCTCTGAATGGTATCCGCAACATTGTTATTTACTTTGATACAGAATGATTAAGATGATAAGTAATCTATACATATTTCTATCACTGCGATAGTTTGTTATATTATGTAATAATAGTATGCTTCAAGTAGTTATATTTCCAGGAGCTGCTAAGTCATGCTTTTTCATTATAAAGAAAAACCATTACACTTTGTAGATAAGTCATTGGTAAGTGTGAAATTCTTGTTGTCACATTTTTAGTACCGTCTTCACAACCCAGACGTTTCCTTGTGTTTATCAACCCTATCGGTGGAAAAGGAACGGCAGTGAAAACGTTTGAGGACACAGTTAAACCCCTGTTTGATCTGGCAGGCATCACATACCAGGTTATTGGTAAGGTGCTATCTCAATTAATTTGGCTGTATTTTAAAATCAATACCTGAACCTAGGACCACAATTAGCTGGGGTCACCAGTAGAGTCCAATATCTCTTAACTTGAGTCACATTGTACACCAAAGAAATATAATTTTATAAAACCAACACTATAAAAACTAGGCAAAGGTGTTCCGAATGGGTTAGTTTCTTGTGCTTCTAGGTCAGCCTAAGCAATTCTAGATCAGAACCGTTACACAGAACCCCCCGACAAACTCACAAAATCAAATCACTTCGCCAACACAGGGAAATCAATTTTTCCTCAATGATATAGTGATGGTGACGATAGAAAAGTCAGATTTTGATATAAACTCTTTATTGGTTCCTGTCAAAGAAGTAAATTTCAATGTACACATGAAACATAAGTGTTCTGTCAATGTCATTTTGTGTTCAATATTGGAGTAATGTTTCTGAAATATGGGCTCACTCATTACCGAGGGTTTTTTTCTTTTGTACTTTACGATTGTCTTAAAGTTTCTCTTTTTTAAAATCATAAAAAAATAATCTACTGTTACTAGTCTTAGGGATTTGATATTGTTCATTGCTTTTCATATTTTCTCTATATCTGGTTTTGAGATTGTAACCATCATAATGATATTCTGAAACAATAAAGAACACAACTTCGTTATACATAGCCGTATAAAAAGTAAGGAATATTAGGGCACCTTACGTAATCCCCAAATAAATGTTCAAAAATCCATCATCCGTGACAAAAAACTTATCCACATCCTGTGCACGTAAGTTACAAATGTACCAACATAACCTGACTGTACAAATGCATACGTTCTTTTTCATTCAAATTAGTGGCGATTTCTGACTACATGTATCACCAAAATACGTGATCGTCAATTACAAATATGCCACGGCTATCTCAACTTGATAGAGGGATGGCTTTAGCAATCCTCATTGGAGGTACATGTAGCACTCAAAAGCAGGACGCTACTCACTTTGGAGTTCACAAATCTTTTGCCACGGGAAGAATTGATGACAGACTGAGATTCGAACGTTTACGTGTAACAATGGGATATCAAGATCGGTTCATAAGCTTGCTCGCTTGCAGTTCAAGAGAAACAACACGAAACACCACTGGTAATGAATCCACCCAAAAACTCTGAGAAATAGACTGCGAAAGGCAAATTCACGCACATGTCGCCAGTGCATTAGTTCGTCACTGACACCTCGACGTTGAGCACGTCGCATGTGATTGTTTACGGCACATGTGCCCAGACATTCCCCTATGAGACCTCGAAGGTCCATGCTCCTCAGGTATGAACCTCGACGTTATTTTGACCTGATGGTCAACAACATGTGTACCGGTGTCGAGGAAAGCGTCTTGCAGTCGCTTAGTTTTGGAGCACTACAGATATGAGTATGGATCAATTATTGCAGGATGAATTAGACAGAAGAGTGCAGAATAGCAAACATCACAAATAACATCCGCCAATCGGCTAACGCATTTGCCGAGGAATGGAACAACATTCCTTTACGGACAGTCAATGTCCTTTTGAACTCCAGACCACGAAGAATTAGAGACGCTATAGCTGTTGGGGAAGGGCACACATTGGGGTATTGGGGAGCTGTCCGACAGCTGTTGTTATTTCAACTTTGTTCACATTAGGGTACCCAAATTCATGGCAGGCTAATGAAGTCCTCATTTGTTAAAATTCTCAGAAAATTTTAAGCCGGATTGTCCAATATTCAAAGTTAACTATCCCATAACACATTTAGGCATATTGTTTACAAATATTATTTATTAAACCGTAACGTTGAAGTTACGTTTCTTTTGCCTCATCGTGTATATATATATGTAAATTGCTTTTGTCAGTGTCAGAACGACCGAACATGTGTACTGAAGTGATGGAATCTCAGGACCTATCTCATGTTGACGGGTAAGACAAAGGAAAGGAAAATGGCCGACAGGCGACAATCTTGCACTTGACAATTGAAGATTATAATTGTTATTTCATCGGAAGAATTTCAAATTTCATATAATTAGAGCAGTAACGTAAGAAATAATAGAAGAAAAATATCGAAATTTTAAAGAACGAATAATGATCAAACGTCGATGGGCACCAAGATCCTTCTAGAACCTCTCATTTCCTTTTTGATCTATCAATTTATTTTCAGTTTCAATCATGAAATCCAAGACAGGAATACAAAATCGAGACACTTTCGAAATATAGTGAATGTCAACGTGATTAAAACAATTCAGACATGAAAATAGAACTCATCGTCATAATTTAAGTTGGTTGATATCCCACGTATTCTATTCTGCGTTTAAAATTACAGTTTTATTGTCTTTGTCCAAGAGAGGACTGATATACTCTGTCTCTGTTGACAGTATTGTGGTGTGTGGAGGAGATGGCACTCTATCTGAAATAGTTAATGTTCTGCTAAGGAGAACTATGGTAGCAGCAGATCTGGATTTCAATGACTCCAAAACCAAAGTTCCAACAACAGTAATCCCTGTAGGACATATTCCCACTGGTAAAGTATTACAGTAGTGTGTATTTATCTATTACTTATTACATATTTATCAGGTCAAGCCTACTTCTCCCCATTTAATTTGTTTCTTATAAAACCGGTTCTCTTTTCATTATCGATGATATTTTACGTTGAAGTGTTTTTTTCTACTAACCACTCGAGAGTTGTAATCATTTCAAGGGTTATCGTTTAGTTACATAATAACGTTACATTGTTTTATAGGTGATGATACTTTCAATGGGATTTATTATTCGGACGTATAAACGTAAGAGTATTGCTACAATTTCAATGTGCGGTTAATGTTATGCTTTAACTGTACAGGTCCAGTTGTAATATAATGTTAATGTTGATATTGTAGAGAAGATAATGTTAATGTTGATACTGTAGAGAAGATAATGTTAATGTTGATACTGTAGAGAAGATAATGTTAATGTTGATACTGTAGAGAAAATAATGTTAATGTTGATATTGTATAGAAGATAATGTTAATGTTGATACTGTAGAGAAGATAATGTTAATGTTGATACTGTAGAGAAGATAATGTTAATGTTGATACTGTAGAGAAGATAATGTTAATGTTGATACTGTAGAGAAAATAATGTTAATGTTGATATTGTATAGAAGATAATGTTAATGTTGATACTGTAGAGAAGATAATGTTAATGTCGATACTGTAGAGAAGATAATGTTAGAAGAAAATGTTAATGTTGATACTGTAGAGAAGATAATGTTAATGTTGATACTGTAAAGAAGATCATGTTAATGTTGATACTGTAGAGAAGATAATGTTAATGTTGATACTGTAGAGAAAATAATGTTAATGTTGATACTGTAGAGAAGATAATGTTAATGTTGATACTGTAGAGAAGATAATGTTAATGTTGATACTGTAAAGAATATAATGTTAATGTTTATGTTTTTATTGTGACTGTACGTAAATGTTTCGATTTAATATCGGTCAGTGGTACTAACAATGTTTTGGTGTATTTTTGTTTTATCGTCAAGGTACAGCAAACGTGATGACTTATTGCTGTTGTGGCACTCTGGACACCGTCACGGCAACTTTGTGTATAATAAAAGGTATATGATACTTCATGTTGATATGTACTTACAAAGTTACCCTACGATCATGTTTTCATTTGCTTACTGTCATACGCAATACGACATTTTGACGATACATTTTGTATACAGACAGCTGAATCACATGCTGTTGTTTGGTTTGGTTCTTACGTCTAAATGACATTCTTTGCCAAGACGCTTTTCTAAGTGATTCTAACAACATATGAACTAATACCTTTTTTCTGATGACCCGCACCCTGTTGAAATATGTGCTACTTTTTACATTTTTATTCTTTTGGAACCTACTCATATCATTCTGTGTTAAGGTGACATTCTGTTGGAACTTACTGATATTCTGTGTTAAGGTGACATTCTGTTGGAACCTGCTGATGGCATTCTGTGTTACGGTGACATTTTGTTGGAACCTGCTGATGTCATTCTGTGTTACGGTGACATTCTGTTGGAACTTACTGATATCAGTCTGTGTTAAGGTGACATTCTTTACGAACTTACTGATATCAGTCTGTGTAAAGTTGATATTCACGTTATATGAGGCTATCGATTATAAATACTACACACTAACTGATATCCACTCTATATCATAAACATAGAAATGATGAATTTGTTGTTGTTGGCATCCACCGCATGAATTGAATGTTGTAAGTCTATTTCCATGTGTGTTATTCACGGGAGACTGTTTCACTCATATGTTGTTATTTGTAGGTGATACACGTCCTATGGGAGTGAGTGGGGTGTACAGTGGCGGGAAGCTTGTTCGGTACAGTCTTGTGGGCGTCAGCATTGGGCTTATAGCTGATATGATGAACACAAGAGACCAGCTGAGGTGGATGGGCATGTTCAGATTGCTGTGTAAGTAAAATTACACAGACAGTGGCATAGCAATTATGAACGCTTGTATGCTGAGGAATACACACGAAATCCATTTAGATATTTTCTGAGTTTACTTCAACCTATACCCCCACTAGGGCTTCGCCCCACGACCCTCTCTTGAAAGCACACCCTCCTAAAAACATTTGCTATGCCATAAAAAAATATGATTTCTTAAAACATCTATATAAATATATAGATATTAATTTATCAAAATCTTTATATTAGAATCTTATTTCAATCAAGCATTCCTTTTTGAGTGTTGCCGAGATGTACATTGTACCGCCAAACTCCTTTTCTTGTAGTGTGGCACTAAAAAACTTTTCTCTGCGATCATATATGTATGCTCAGTGACCATTGCACACATCGTGCCGAGATTTATTTTTCTTATGATATTTTAATCACCATCTTCAACACAATAGCTTCAGATTGTTTTTGCTCCTTAAAAGTGCCTTGGTGTCCATCGTCTAAGGGGTTATCAGGACACTTTATACTATCGTTCTCGATAAGATTTTGTAACTTTGTCTTTGTTTCATGTTCCTTGTTTGTGATTTAATTTTGTAATATTATATGTCTCGATAGAGGTGCAGATTGCCTCGGGAATTGGACAAGTTACTTGTCTGTACTGTTGCTATTACCAATTCAATCTTTCCTAAAAACAACTTTTTATTGTTTCAGGGGTTCCCTTCGTGATGCTTTTCAGTAGTTTTCGGACATTTACCTCTGAAATAACTGTCGACATAAGGTAGAGTATTTTACAACTAAAATAGGTATCCTCACAAGGTAGAGTATTTGACCACAGAAATAACTATAGACACAATGTAGAGTATTTCACCGCTGAAATAAGCATACCTACAATGTAGAATATTTTATCACTGAAATAAGTATACCTACAATGTAGAATATTTTACCACTGAAATAAGTATACCTACAATGTAGAATATTTTATCACTGAACTAACTATCCACAAAAGGCAGAATATTTCACCACTGAAATAAGTATACCTACAATGTAGAATATTTTATCACTGAACTAACTATCCACAAAAGACAGAATATTTCACCACTGAAATAAGTATACCTACAATGTAGAATATTTTATCACTGAACTAACTATCCACAAAAGACAGAATATTTCACCACTGAAATAAGTATACCTACAATGTAGAATATTTCATCACTGAAATAAGTACACCTACAATGTAGAATATTTCATCACTGAACTAACTATCCACAAAAGACAGAATATTTCACCACTGAAATAAGTATACCTACAATGTAGACTATTTCACCACTGAAATAAGTATACCTACAATGTAGAATATTTTACCACTGAAATAAGTATACCTACAATGTAGACTATTTCACCGCTGAAATAAGCATACCTACAATATAGAATATTTTATCACTGAACTAACTCTCCACAAAAGACAGAATATTTCACCACTGAAATAAGTATACCTACAATGTAGAATATTTTACCACTGAAATAAGTATACCTACAATGTAGAATATTTCATCACTGAAATAAGTATACCTACAATGTAGACTATTTCACCACTGAAATAAGTATACCTACAATGTAGAATATTTTACCACTGAAATAAGTATACCTACAATGTAGAATATTTTACCACTGAAATAAGTATACCTACAATGTAGAATATTTTATCACTGAAATAAGTATACCTACAATGTAGAATATTTTATCACTGAACTAAGTATCGACACGAGGTAGAGTATTTTACCACATAAATAAATATCGACACAAGGCAGAGTACTTAACCACTGTTATAAGTATCCACAAAAGGCAGGAGATTATTTTACCACTGTAATAAGTTCCACACATGGTAGAATATTTTACCGCTGAAGTAAGTATCCACGAACGGTTGAGGATTTTACTTTTGAAATAACTGTTCACACAAGGTTGAATATTTTTAATACTGAAGTTACTATCCACATAAGGTAAAGTATTTTAGCTATTCACACACAAGAGATATCCACACAAGGTAGAGAAGTCATTATGTGATTACCATATACCATCTACTTACAATATGTTATGCAAAAAAATGAATTGTCAGACTTTAAAAAGTAGTGTGCTTTTAAATAAAAAAAATCGAATGATTATTGAAATGTACGTATTGAAGTTAAGATTAGAGCATGCGTGCATCAATATAAATTTTGTTGAAAAAAAAGGAATTTTCATGAACAAGCAGTAAACATAAACACATACGGAATCAGTACAAGACCTGCTAAGCTTACCCTCCATTTGGGTATCATGTGAAATGAACTTTAACCCTGCGGAATATTTCCAGACAAATAATACGGCATTAAAGTATGAGTCATGATACTGTATATCTACTTTTAGAAAGAAAACCACCGTGACAGAAGGTGACAAGAAGGAGATTACGTATACAGAAAAGGAAGGTAGGCTTTTTACCCTACTAAACGACAGAACCAATTTCAGACTTGTACTGGTGTTTAAATTAGTTAACAACATGTCATCATTGATCCGTTTTGACTGCTAACGAGCATCCGTAACCTGTAAATGTATGTTTCTTCATGTGTCGTTTGTGATACTGTTGTTATACAAAACCTGATCATGCAAAGAATATGAATCTTTGTCATGAAATTTGTCAGACAACAGCATAACTAATGAGGAGTCTGTATAAAAATCCTGGAGTTATGTTTATAAAATTTTGATGTTGAAAGCCTAAACTACAAATGAATTAGAACATATACATAACTGTGTGTTTGTTGACAGAGTGATTGAATTGCCATAGCAAGTATATGATAGAGAAGAAAATGTAATTGAATTCACCCAGCAACATAATATGCAAATATGTGCTGCATCCTATCATTGTTACGTCATTAACGAACTAAATATATTTATATTATGTTTGTTCTTTTAAGAAATTATCTATTTGCAGGTATTGTCTATATAATGTAAGCTCACGTATGATTCGCCATTTTATGTTTAGATTTCGAAACTTTCATAATAGCAAATATGAAGATATGTGTATAGAATTAAACACACAAATGAACACAAAATAACCACATTTTATTTCAGAAAAATTTGAACGAGAAATTTTCAACACAATGCTTCTGTGCTGGAATATTAAGGACGTCAATGGTAAATCCCATATATGGCCGAACAGAGGACCCTTCCAGACCTTCATCTTCTACAAAAGTTCATGCTCCAAGTTTCAGTTAGTGCGGCATTTTATGAAACTATTCAGTGCCAAAAAGGAAGCGGTAAGAACATACAACATTGTAAACACAGGCAACATACATCATCATTTACCGTATAAGGTTAATATTGTTGCTGCACCTCCCTGTCTAGATTTTGACCTTTCTTGTGATCACTTTTTTTTCTTCAGTCACCTCCTAGGCTTTAAATCCTAGGCCCTAAGCATCAATGACGAATATCATATTTTTGTGTATATGTCACTACTGTAATATACCCTTAAGCATTTTTTATTGGCTGCACCAGTCCTCCATATTTTGAATAAAAAACCTGTCAAAATGTAACGTTCTGGATTGATGTGTTGAAATGTTTCATGGATTTATTTTCTTTTTCATACGAAAAAACTTGAACAAAAATAAAAACTAAGACTTTTTACACAAAATGAAAACTCATTTAAAATCCTAGATATAACTTTGAAATCTAAAGTATAATATAAAAAGTATTTACCCATACAGAACTCGTAAGTATGCCTAGTTCTTGATGTGTATAACATCATAGAAACACATAGATATGTAGAAAAACCTTTCTTAATCCAAAATCTCTGTATTCATCTGCGGATGATATACTGCTTACCTTAATAGCCGTCGGCTACAAAAGGCCAGAGAGAGCCATGTTTTCAACATGAACATATTTCATTTCAATGATGTTAGTTTGTTTCTGAACTTTTTTCTATTGTCTTGAAAGAACTTGTACATCCTCTTTGTAGAATTCTCCTGTTATATATCCTTATTTACAAATAAATCTATCAAATGCATATTTGAGTACCAATTTCATTGCCTTTGAAACATTGAACTTTATGAGTGTCTAATTTAAAGGTAAATGTTTAGCAACAGAGAGCTGCTGCTGAGTACACAGCAAAGAGTAAAGACATAAAAAAATAAATATCTTTTATCTTGAAGTTCTAACTTGGGAATCGCTGACCTTTCAGTACATATATTGATTATGTTTATACAGCTAGATCAGGATTTCCTGGAGTGCTATCAGGCGGCTGGTTATACAATCAAAGTGAAGGAGGACAGCCCGCTTGATGCAAATCTCAACATTAATATAGACGGGGATCAGTTTCGATTGCCAGAGCCATTTCATGAAAACAGGTAAATTTGGATAGAATAGTTATTTCCCGTTAGTGTATTTAGCTCCACTCTTTTGGATACGCTCTAAGCGTAATTATAATCATATTAACTGTGTGGCTGGTGCAGTTTTAATTTTGGTACCTGATTTCGTGTAGGAATTATTTACCTGAGTGTGCACATATCTCACTGTAGCTTTGATTTACTAGGTTCCACGATGGTGCTGTTCGGATGTTTTCCAGTCTCACCGACACTGACGACAATACTTCAGTTCCATAATTCAGTGCGAGTCAAAATTTTTAAAAAGTTGACTTGGACCAGAGTGACCAGAATGAATAGTTATTGCCCTTGTCAGGCTGTTGTGTTGAGAAACCAGAATGAATAGTTATTGCCCTTGTCAGGCTGTTGTGTTGAGAGGCCAGAATGAATAGTTATTTTCCTTGCCATGCTGTTCTGTTAAGACACTAGAATGAATAATTGTTAACCTTGCGAGACTGTTGTGTTTTCTGACCTTGTGCAAGCGATGTTAAATACTACTTAATGAGAAGTTCAAACTAGTATCAGTTATGATTGTCGCCGATATGAACACACCATGTCTATAGTCAGTAGTACTAGTATTAGCTAGATATCGCTTTTGAAATATCTTCAATGTATTAGAAATCAATGTCCACCTTTTAGGAAATAGTTTCACCTTGTCCACATTTATTTCCAGAGGCGAAAGACCGTTAAAGAATTGTGTCTACGAGGATCAAATGCCTAGCACATATTAAGTATTCTACATCATTGTTACAATGTAATGATATTGAAAATCGAAAGGAAACTTGAAATAAACGTCTGATTGACTGATTTCGGAAATAAAAATATTACATTAAGATTTTATGTTCAAATCATGATAAATGGAAACACAGACATTTTCAAGTCAGTGGGTTATTGGGATGGTAATTAATGTCTGTCCAAGGAGAAGATGTGTTTTTTCAAAAGCTTTTGAAATATTCAAAAGAAAGATAACTTATTGATTTATGTAACAGATACTACACAGTTTCCCACCAATGATTGCGGTATATTTCATACCCTTTGACAAAAACATGGAAAACCTATCGATACCCTAATCAACTCTGATCACGTGTTTTATTTATATGAAAGACATGTGAATTCGTTGTGAAGTGTTGATTGGCTTTTTCTACCTCAAAATATATCCGAATCAGATTTTTAAATATGTTGTTTTAATGTTGATTTGAATGTTTTAGATTAAATCAGCTGCCAAAACGTTGCCAGTGATCTAATAATTATTTTGGTGCTAAAGTTACATTCTATTTCTATCTGGTAAGGTAACTCTAGGTCTGTTTAGGTTTTTGGTTTTTGTTAACTGAAACTGCTGGTCCGTCTGTCTTTATCTGTTTTATTTTGGCTTTTTCGCAGTGTCATCAGTAAAAATAATTCGATATTTTATTTTCACGTATTTTTTATCCCGAAATTTTTATCAAAGGTACTGATAAGTGGAACATTCCCTGAATCCCCTCAGCTATTGTATCGACTCTACCGCTCACCAGTAAAAGTTTGTTACCACATTTTGGTACCAAACAATCCGATGAAAATACATATCTTAATTTACCACTACACTTAATGAATGGAAATATTTAAAGTAAATTAAGATCTGTATTTTTGTCAAACAATTTTAGTACCAAATTAGTAATAATCGAACATGAATTCAATGTGTCAAAGATCAGCTGACCTAAGCCCCATTTAATGTCACTTTTTCGAGGAAGTTTTGTATTACCTATACCGTAAACTTTATTTGATATTACACGTATCCGCACAAAACAAGCACTACGCAAGCAACAGCCATTTGTTTTCAACGTAACTTTATTTGTTACTCCTGATGTTGTTTATTGAAGGTATATAGATGTAATATTTGTTTGCAAATAAAACATGTAGAAACGGACTTGTTTGTTAAATTGTTTGTAGATTTGTCTTAGATTCAAGACAAAAACAGTGCAATGCATTCATGAGAACAGTTGTATGCAAACACCAAATTTGTGATATTATTACAGAATACGTACAGCGCTTGGAGGCAAAATGAAGTATTTATATTTCAGCAAGACACCTGACCTCGAAACCTGAGCTTGAAACTTTATCTAGACATCATTAAAAATTCCTTATTAAATTAAAAAATATACACATCTGTTATAGAGGTTCCAGATTAGATTTTACGTACTATGTTTAAACTTAAATAAGTTTCAAAATTTAGGATCTTAGCATTACTGACGAGTCCTAGAAGGACGAAAAATCTTAATGATACATTAAGATAATTAGTTTGCGCTAGTTAAATCAATTATACTATACATTGGTATGGAAAGTTGATATGTATTTGTGTTTCTTTTGTACATGTATTATAATGACAAGACAAAATAACATTTCGTATCATCTTTTAAGCAACAGCATAAACAGAAATTTAAATAACCACGCTTTTGGTACATTTTTTTCGTTGACTATTTATCATCAAGTAGGCATACGCGACGAAATTTCATCACACACAATAACACCAACTACATAGATTTAAACATAGTGTTTCAGTAAATTGTCAGTTACTTCCACTTAGAAACAATATAAATTTTCTTATTAGAGCGGACTAAATGGATAACATGAAGGATTGCAATTATGTAGTTGCAAACAACATGTAAACTAATTAATAGGGAATTCTACTTCGTTCCATTTTGACATGTTGAATGGTGAGATAAGTTGCCCTACAAACAACTAAATTTTTAAAAACAAAGTCCAAACAGGAAGGAATACAAGATGATTTTTAGCAAGATATCTTCTAATTTCTGATGTTTAGTGATACTTTAATATTCACGACCGTTATCGATTAACTTTAGAAAATAACGAGAGTAAAGGAAAAACACATTCTCTGAATTCTGCAATGCTAGTGAAAGGCGTATTTATATAGTTATTATGTAAGATATTGTTTTGACAATAAGGTCCATTTATACGTTCATAAAATCGCAATGACAGTGCTATATCGACATTAAGGTACATTCATAAAGTTACAATAACTAGGATATATCGACGTTGAGATACCTTCATAAGGCTACAATGATAGGGATATATCGACATTAAGGTACATTCATAAAGTTACAATGTCAGTGATATATTGAGATACCTTCATAAAGCTACAATGATAGGGTTATATCGACGTTATGGTACATTTATAAAGCTATAATAACAGGGAATATTTTTGCGTTGATGCATATAGCAGTTCAGCTGTCAATCAGGATTAAGTTAAAAGATCTTTGTAAGTTTTGTTTTGGGGTCATGAAACATCTGATATCTAATAGTCGTTTATTATTTCATAACATTCTCCATTGTCTTGACTTGTTCATCTTTTCTTGTCATATGATGCAAACACGATATTTAATGGTTTTCCGTTTAATATATATTTTTTACGAGTTTTACAGAAAATATATATTTTTACGAGTGAAAAGCGATGTCATTTCGTATGGGTTGCTTTACGTAGTATTCAACCATTTCATGCAATCTTTACTAGAGTTGTCGTTCCTTAACAGTCACAATACGCCTCTGTAAACATCTCCCGGACTACCCAATAGTTGACCTCGCAGTACGGGACAAAGTTTGACGTCGGACAAAACATATGGCGGCACCCCTTACAATACCAACAACGAACACAGCTATCACTGATATCGTTATATGAACATGTATCTCACGATGAAATAATTCAATAATGTAGCCAAATTACCATCAATTATCACTAAAGTCACAATACATGAACATGTTTCCCGAGAACAAGACGGTAGTTGAAAATTGAAAGTACGAAATGTTGTTACAGTAGTTAGTGATTGTTTACTCACCATTACTCTTCCATGATATAATCCACGACGTGTATAAACTGGTTTAATTATTTTACCAGATGAACAAACGTTTATATTCAAAATACGGTTACAAATACCAAAACACAAAATTGTGAATCATTTTTAACACAAAAATGTTTATCAAAAATCTTGAAACTGCCGGAGCCTTTGACAGAGGTACTTTTGTAGGGTACCACAATGTACACTAGGAGGAATTGCATTTCATTCTGTTATCTCATGAAATTCATTTACAAAACTGTTTATCTTCTAAATCCGAAAACAGAAACAGTACAACGGAATTATTTGATGGAAAACCAACTTATTCAATCTTCGCTTCATTTGCATCCGAAAAAAAATCCAGGAAAATAGACGAATTTCATTGGAGTGACTAGAAAACATCGCTCTGATTGGTCAAAACTACGAAAGATATATCATTGGAAAAAACGATTAAGATATTTTTACTTTGCAATTGAAATCAGGTTTATGTTAAGCTATAACGATACAGCGGCGTTCGTCCGTCATTTTTTTTCTACAAATCACTTCTGATTATGACCAAGGGAGCGAATTTTGCCAACATTCAGTGTGAGGCATCCTTGGGAGAAGGGGAACAAATTTTGTATAAACAGTGGATCTCGGACCCTTGGGGCGGGGTCCAGAAGAAGAAATGGGACATTTAAAAGAAAATCCTATTGCTTCTTAAGGAATTATTTAATTTTGTCCAATCTAAAAACATTCTAAGGTGTAAACGGCGGGAAGGTCGGAGTCCAATAGGGGAAATATAGCAAATTCTTCAAAATCCTACTTCTCCTGTAGTAGGAATGATTGGATTTTGCCCAAATTTGGCCCAAAGCAATCTTGGGTCTAGGAGAATTAATTTTGTATAAACGATGGGTCTTGGCTCCCATGGGATGGAAGAGACAGAGTCCAGGAGGGGAAACAGATCCAATTCTTTAAAATCCCATTCCTCCGGTAAAAATGATTGAATGTTTCAAACTTGGTGTGAAGCCCTGTTGGGTGATCTTGAATCGATGTTATATATAAGTTTAGTCTTGGCCCTCTGGGTCGTGAGTTGCCCAGGAAACTATTCATTTTTCTCGGATTCTAAACATTTACCACTGTATCGCTTACACGTTTTGTAGTTTCAATTGATGTTAAAATTCTAAATTTGTATAACGAAATGAATAATTCTTCAGCCTCTGTGTTTATATTGGTTTTCATCATACCTGAGCATTCTCATCGATAACGGTGATTTTTTTTCTTGTCGTTCCTGTCCTCTGTACTATTTCTATGGTGTGTCCTCAGTACTTCTAGTGCTTCTAGATTTAATGTTGTAACACTTGCTAATACGTAAACCTTGGGTTGAGTATTTAGAACACAGTAGTTATATTTAGTCGGCGAGTAGATAAAATGGATTTCAGTTTTAGCACAGTAACAGTGGGCATTGTTGTGATATTACTAATTCTGTTAATCAGCTGGTCACTGCAATGGCCAGTTAACATCCCGCCTGGTCCATCTGGGTACCCTGTCGTTGGATGTATGCTTATGTTTCGAAAAGGAAACCCTTTGGATGTGTTTAGGAAACTTCGAGCACAATATGGCGAGGTGTACAGTATGAGAAATGGTGTAAATCTTGTCGTGGTAATCAATGGAGAGGCAACATTAAAGGAAGCTTTCATCAGACATGGTGACGAATTCTCCGATCGAGCAGACAATATCATTACACAGCTTGTTTTACAGAATAAAGGTAAATAACAGTTACGCGTTTACAAATGTCGTATATATAACAGTATTGATGTAGGAAGACAATATTTGACACGTGTTCTGTCCCGGCATCGAACCAAGATCTATTGGCCAAGAAAGCCTATAACTTACAAACCTTTGCATGACCACACTCGCGTACACACCTCCAAGCAGGTCCGGGGGTGGGGTGGGGGTGTTACATTTTTTTCCTGATTTCCCTTCAATTCCACACTTTGTGACATCAAAGACAATATCCAGTTGGGTGATGCAGTTTTACCCCGTATTTTGCTGTTCGTTTGATAGATTTCATTTTAAATGTGCTATAGGTGTCATTTTGGTACAATATACATAAAAATCCTAATCAGAGAAATTCCCCCTCCCACCGATAAACGTGCTATCACTCATAAACTAACAATGCTAACAATTTCCGTACTTGTTTTTTATCATTATTATTGTTTTAGGTATTGGTTTAAGCTCTGGTGAATATTGGAAAAAGACTCGGACTTTTGCTCTTTCGACACTCCGGAATTTCGGATTTGGCAGAAAGTCATTGGAATCCAGAATACAGGACGAAGTGGCAGCATATTTGGATGTCATTGAAGAACTGAATGGACAACCTCATGACTTGAAGGAAATAACCGTGTTAGCAATATCAAACATAATATGCAGCATTACATTTGGAAATAGATTTGAATACAATGATACGAAATTCAAACGTATTACATCACTTTTTGCAGAAAACTTTCGCTTAAACACGGTAGGTAGTGCCGTGCGATTATTCCCATTCTTACGGTTTCTTCCTGGAGATATGTTCAATATAAAGAAATTGCTTCAGAACTTAAGGGATATCAAAGCCTTTGTCGATGAACAAATAACTGAACACCGAAGCACGTTTGAAGAAGACAATCAACGAGATTTCATTGATGCATTTCTCAGTCAACAAAACAAATACGGCAAGGAGGACAACATATTTGAAGGTAGGTATAAGTACAATGTACGCTATATAGCTTAATACATTGATTATAAATTATGTTACTATAAGAGAACAGGCAATGACATATTCTTTGCTTGATACAATTTTGATATATACACAATGATACTGAATGACATCATACATAATTTCATGCCTAGTGAACACAGTCTCCGTTCACGTTCTTCATTATGATACCCTCATATTTCAATGCATAAATATGTGACCATAGAAGCATTTTATTTTTTTTTTCAAAATTTGGATGTCTAGTGACTTTCTTAAGTATTGCTGTATGCAAAACTCCTTACACAAGAACCTATACTGGGTACGTTTAGGATAACTAATATTAACTCATCCATTCCTGACAAAATCTGTCAATAGTTCTCTCTTTCCCTTAAATATCCGAAGCCCGATCTGTATAACCAATTTTATATATCAATTAATCATATATCATTATTTTATCCAGAAGAGTTACTCTCGCTATTAAGACAAGAAAAAAGAGATCCTAACGCGAAGGTGGATGTATAACATATAGACACTAAATGTTTCTATTTAGCTGGACCATATAAACACCGGGGGATGATATATGTGTCTCAGTGGATTTTTTTATTTCATGCATTCCATTGGTTTTAATTTTTTTAAAAGAAAATAAACATATATATAACACCACTTGGACCTGAACAAAAGGTCCATAATTAATGAAATGTTTGCCTTACTATCATGAAAGGAGATAACAGAACTTGTTTTTCTCGTTACTTCAACATCATATCAGAATTGATTAAGTATATGCAAAATTTGAATAAGTTTTACCTCTAATTTTATCATAATGTATATCCGCTTCTGACATAGGCAGGATATCACCGGAAACCACACTACAACAGGTAGATATCGGTAACTTTATATGAAATCGACTATAATCGTTCCATCGATACTCTTCTGAGCATGTTCGTCTCTTAAATAGGTGAACAAGATACGGTCCATCTCAGATATCTCTCCTGTGTCGTCTATTGAAAATTTTACCTGGACTACCAATACAACACATTGAAATAATAGCAAGTAATGGCTGTCTACTTGGTTGTAGTGGTGAAAACGATAGTTATATCAATTTGGTGCCTTAACTGAGGTTTCCACGTTGGAGGATGGGTGAAGTTGCATGTTCTAGATCCTTTGGTATCCATACGATAAATAGATATAGTTTTGTTTTTATTTATTTATACAGATCTGAACGTATCGGCTTCCGTTAGATAAGTAGGCCGATACTATTTTCAGATAACTTTATTATCCAAAATGATGGAGGTCTGAAACATACAAAAAGTAACATTGTAAATAAAATCAACTATCTGTTGGTAAGACATAAGTAATAGACTAACAAGTAAATACATAATCCTCTATCCCTCCCCGAGTCATTTAGTATTTTAAATGACTGATTTAATGTTTTTGTCCTTGTGGGAAATATGGATGGAATAAGTCTATTACTGTTCATTGTCACTGAAAATGTGATATGCCTTAACACTGTTATTACATTGTGAGATCAAATTATGTATCAATTAACAGTAAATGTAACATACAAAGAAAATGAAATTAAAATGATAAGGTACTATTTGTACATTAATTAAAAAGTAGAAAAGTAGAACTGTCATTGGGCAGACTACCCTCCAGTTCGGGGATTATTCTGCCCCATTTAATGCTCATAATCACTAAGCCATTTTGGCTCTTGTCGTTGTCGATTAGGACGTCTTGGGGTAAGGTCAACGGATAGTTGCTCTGGTCTGTTTGTCACGATCCTCCTGGGTGTGACTGGTGTTGCAGGTGAGGTAGTTGGAGGATGTGGTGACGGCGGTAGCCTGGGCGATGCTGGAGAGGGAGACGAATTAACCATTTGTGGGGATCCGTCCAATGCCAAGGGTGTTTGCGGTTTAGATTGGACTGTATGAGACGTCCTATCCTGCACAGGAGGTGGACTGTTACTCAGATCTTGTGAAGCTGGTGCACGCTTACTGATCCCTTGTGGATTGATGTCCAGACTGGGCTTCAAAGGATTTGCCGGGACCACTGGAGTTCCGCTCGTCGGTGGTGTAAAGTTTGGAATGTCCCTTTTGAAGTAATGTTTCAAGTCCTGCTCTATGGATTGCTTTTCAGGGGGAGAATACACAGGTGTATACTTGCGTAGAAACTTTCGATTGCGAAGCGTGATTCTGCCCGACCCGTCGATACGTACGACGTATTGGTCATATTGGTGAACCTCTATAACAGTTCCGGTTTTATCCCATTTTCTCGGATATGGTCCAGTTTGGTTTTGAATCCTGACGAGGTCTCCAACTTTTAGTGGCAGCAGACGCTTCGTATGTTCAGCTAAGCGTTCGGCGGTCTTCATGTGTCTGATACGTAAAGCCTCTTCTCTCAGGGTAAGCGTATCACTCCATGTCTCGTGTGGCTTATAGCGGCCTGGTAAGATTGGGATGAAGTCTCGAATGGCCCGCCCAAAAACACACATTGCTGGCGATAATTTCGTATCCCTGTCTGGAGTGTTACGGTATTGCAGCACTGCACGCTGGAAGGAGTCTGTGTCCAATTCACCATTTGGACCAGTGTTGTTTGTGATCATGCGCTTCACAGTCTTCACGCCAACTTCTGCTCTACAATTGCTATGAGGAAAGGCTACAGAAGAAAGCCTGTGGTGCACACCCCATGTTTTTAGGAAATCTCTGGTTGTTGAAGCTGTAAATTCCGGGCCGCCATCAGAAGACAGTTCATCTGGTATTCCAAATGTGACGAATGTGCGGCGTAAGCAATCAACAAGGCCAGATGCGCCATCTTGTGCCCTTTCAACAATTGGCCAATTTGAGTATCTGTCTACAATCACCAGGTAATTGCCGCCTTTGTAGTGGAAAAAGTCGGCACAAACACACTGAAATGGATATAAGGGGTAGACAGATGGAGTTGGCGGGGCGCTGGGTTGGGATGGGGCATTTCTGTTGCAATGGTTGCATGAGTTTCTAAGCTTGGTGATGTCGTTGCATATGCCGGGCCAAAACACAGATGTTTCTGCTCTTGACATCATGGATGAAGTGCCTTGGTGGGCTGAGTGTAGCGCTGTCAGCACGTCTGTTCTCAATGAAGGTGGTATCACTATTCTGTCCTTATATATGATGACTCCATCGATAGTGGAGAGGTTGTTACGGAACTGATGATATTCTCTCAGGGGAACTGGAAGATCGTTTCGTGTTTCTGGGATGCCACTTTCAATCATCTGTACGAGCTGGAACATGTACTCGTCGCTTGTTGTGGCAGTCCTTATTCTATCCCAGGTTATACACTGAAGTGAGGTGACTGATGACAATGCTGTCGAGTAGAAGATAGCTTCGCTACTTTTCAATGGGATTTCCAGTGTGTCATCTGCGATTTTGTGATTATGTGTTTGGATGGTATGTTGCGCCTCATTCTTGTTGCAGATATGAACAGAAGCAATATCATCGATTAAAACCATGCTATCAGATTTCCCAACTGGGTGACGAGAAACGGTATCAGCAGCTCGATGTTTGGCGCCGGGCACGTGTAACATTGTGAATTTGTAACGTAGAGTTTTCTCTTTTAGGTTACGAAGTCTTGAATTAGGAATATCTTCTAGTGATCTGTCACCAAAAAGTTTGATTAAGGGCTTGTGATCCACAGCGATGATTAGCTTGTCACATCCGAGAACAAAGTATCTCGCTTTTTCTAAAGCATCAGCAACCGCAAGTGCTTCGCCTTCTACGGGGGCATATCTGGATTCGGTGGCGCTAGTGAACCTGCTCCCAACAAGAGTTATTTTCCATCCGTCTCGGCAACAGAATGGCACGGTTTTGGAGCAATTGCAATGTTTTTGGAAAAGCCAATATCCTATGCCATTCTTTGACCAATCTGTGGCAAGACAAGTTGGTTTATTCTTGTCAAATATCTGGACGCCGTGTTCTATTTCACTGATAATAACTGCTTTTGATTCTTGAAAAAGACGCTCTAGAGTGTCATCCCAGCAAAATGGAGTTCCAGGTTTGAGCAGTTGTCTGAATGCTTGCATCCTGTCAGTCATGCTGAATGCATATGACACTTGATTTACAAGGCCGAACCAAGATCTCATATCAGTTATGTTCTTAGGTGAAGGGAAGTCCAGAATTGCTTCAAGATAACGGCTGCATGGTCGCACACTGTCACGAGTAATTTCAAAGCCAGCAAACTGAACAGTATCTTTTGCAAACACAAATTTGTCAGGGTTCAGAATGATACCATTTTTTCCACAGGTTTCTAGCCAATTGCACGATTGAAAGAAACTTTGCTGGATACTGTCCGACCAAAGAAGAGCATCATCTATACACTTTGTTTTGTCAGGAATGTCAGATACAATTTCGTCAAAGCGGCGTGTATATCCATCTCCGGAGGCTATGTATCCTTGAGGCGCTGTCTTATATCTGTATCTGCCCCATGGTGTGATGAAGGTGGTCAAGTGCTTGTCCTCTTCACGGATAGGCACACTATGGTACCCATTCCAGGCATCGAAGACAGTCTTTTTAGTGTGACGTGGAACAGAGCGAGCTTGATGAAATGGGGATTGTGTGTGGTGAGTTTCCCTCACTGCATGAACATTTAGTGCCTGAAAGTCTACTGTCCGTCGCGGTTTGCCATTCTTCTTTGCACAGACGACCATACGATGACACCATGTAACTGGTTCCCCGACCGGAACAGGCTCAATAACGCCGAGTCGAACATCTTGATCTAAGCCTGCCTTCACTTCATCCTGCCAGTGTAATGGTACTGGGACTGGTGTATGATGAGCAACAGGTGTGGCGTCAGGGTCCACCATGAGCCGCATCGGTGGGCCTGACATGTGCGGAAGTGGTTGGTGCTGACATGTATTGAAGGTGCTGGATTTGTACCAGTCTAGTAAGTACTGTTGCAGTTTCTCCCGGTTCGCTTCGGTTGCTGGGAACGGCAGAACCGATGGTGCAGGCAGTGGTGTTTCGCGTTTAGGACACTTGCAGTCGTCACTGTCTATACGTAATGTGGTTGTAGAATCCACAGAAGATGTCGATTGTGAACCGTGGTGTGCATAATCATCTTGTGTACTTGGGGAGGACACAGATTCGCTGATGGTCTCTATACTTTCGTTGTTGATGTTACGTGCTTCACCAATAGTTGGAAAGTTCGGTGTTATCATGCCAAGTGATGCACACGCTTCTCTACTAAGAAACACTTTGTCAGAGTTATTGGTGACGTACACAATTTGGGGAGCTTCATAAGTTTCACCTCTCGTTCCTTTGCCAGATATGCGGAGGATGACTGCCCCAAGGATTCTTATGCTGACGTTGTTAGCAGCATGCATCTTCATAGTCACTGGGATCAAATGTTTCTCTGAGATGCCAAGCCGATGTAGCACCTTAATGCCGGCTAGGCAGCTTTGGCAACCTGTGTCAGCCATGGCGGTGATGGTAGCTGTCTTTGGTTTCGGTATGATCTTTGGGTCAATGCCGAAGTGGTCATAGTCTTTAGGTTCAACACGAGCAGTCACATGCATAAAAGGCTGAGGCTGTGACGGCTGGCGAATCCAAGTGTCTGATAGCTGATTGTAAAGATGATGATCAAGTTGAACAACATTTCTACCATAGTTATTGTCATGACTGGTTGCGGCGCAAAGTGAATCAAACACAGCACTTTCCTGTTCAGTCTTAGTGTTTGTCACATTTTGTTTGCCTCTGCATACAGACTCAAAGTGGTTCATTCGCTTGCAATTGTTGCATGTATGACCATATGCAGGGCACTCTTTTTTGCGAGTTTGTGGCGTTGCTTTGGCACCATGACCTTTATTTCCACAATAGGTTGCGGCGATATGAACTGCTAGCTGCTTCTGCTCCTTGAGAAACAAGTAGTTTAGATGCAGAACGTTTACCCGATTCTTTGGCTTCAACGAATTGAAATGTTTGTTCAAGTGTCATGTTTTGATTTCTTTCCCCAAGGAGATCAAGTTGAATCTCAGAGTCGTTGAGTCCACGAATAAGCACATCACGTAAGATTGCGTCAGTATAGTTGACTTCGTTGTCGCAGCTGGGGCATGGTATTAAAAACTTGCACACACCTGCTTGTCCGCGTAGTCGAGCCCCAAATGAGCGCACAGTTTCTTCATGGTCTTGTGTCATGTTGTTCAGTGCTACCCGAGCTACCATGGTATTCTCTTCACGCACAGCTAGGATCCTGATGGCTGTTAATACATCTTCTTG